TGTTTTTTCTGTAACTTGTGCCTGTTGGTCTGCTATTTCATTAAAATGATTTCCTTCATGTGCTTTAACCTTATGTAGTAAAATTTTCAGTCATATATATTGAGAATTGAATGAATAATAGATAATTAAATTTCAGAGAATAATTTTAAAGTGTCTCATTAATATTAAATTCAATTCTCAATTTAAAAATCTGAAACTTTAACAGTAAATGCTCCATATATTAGACTTTATTTTACTTAGTATCTCGTATTTTATTATATTGAAAGATAAAGAAGTTTAATATGTGAAAACGATTGATAATTATTTTCAAATTTTTTTTTTAATTTTTAAAAATGATCAATACAGATTATATTACGCAATCCACATCGATCATTTTTAAAAAATCAAAAAAAAAATCTGAAAATAATTATCAATAGTATTCACATATTAAACTTTTTTATCTATAACATAATAATATAAGTTGTAATAAGTAAAATTAAAGTCTAATATATGGAGCATTTACTATGAAAGTTTCAGATTTTTAAATTGAGAATTTAACTTAATATTAACGAGATGTTTTAAAATCATTCTCTGAAATTTAATTATCTATTATTCATTCAATTCTCAATATATATGACTGAAATTTTTACAAAAGATGCTCTATATATCAGGCTTCAAGGTTACTTAGTACTACGTTTATTGTTTTACTAATAGATAATAAAGATATGTGCGTATGAACTATCAATAATCATTTTTTATTTTAATCTTTATTTTTATTAAATTTTATTCATGTCTAAGTAATGTCAGACTTTTTACTAGATACTATGAAATTTTTTCTAATTAAAGTGATAGATATTATTTTGGCTACAATTTCATATAAGATAGTTGGCATCTGTCTTCAATATCTATTGAATGCAGTATAGGTAAAATCAAAGATTGAATTTATTATTTTTTTTCGATTTCATTTAAAGCGTAATTTCTCTATATGCAAACGTTCAATTTTAAAACAAAATATATCATATGATAGCTCTAGTTTAGGAAAATCTAATAAAAAAAGTTTGCGCAATTTAAATAACCCGTTGGAGCACAATTAGCATTTTAGTTTTAGCAATTTTTTAAAAATTTTCAGGTGTCAGATACTTTTGGCAGGGAAGTGTACATATGTTTTTAACTTTTTCTTCAATTAAATTCTTCTGATATTATTTTTTACCATTGACTGTTAAATATACTCCCGATATTCTTATTTGATCATATTTACCAATTGCATTAATTTTTTCTTTCATAAAGTTTATATTATGTTTACCTGTTTTATTATTTATGTGTATTAAATGTGATTTTTTTGCATTCCCATTATTTTAGTAAATTCTTCAACTGATTGTAGTATAGTCTCCATTTGTTCTCTATTTGGTGCTAAATATATTGTATCATCCATATATGCTATTGCATTTATTTTTAATTTCTTTGTTTTTATTTTCATATTATATAAGTTACCATATTTCAGAGTTTCCATGTAATAACCTTTTAAATTTTGTATCTTTGTTATTAAAGGATCATAATATACAGTATATGCCATAATAGTGGATATATAGCATCTCCCTGTTCTATTTCTGTTTCTGGATTAAGCTCATCTGTTAGACCATAAAATGTTATCACTCTACTTGATCAATTACTTAATAAATTATTAAGAATGTTGATAATTTTGTTTGGCATTTTAATTCTTTTCGTATTTTTCTTTAATACCTCTGTTTTTATTGAATCAAAGGCCTTGGAAATATCTTGTGATAGGATCCAAAGTTCCTCATTGAATTCTTTTGCTTCTTCTATACAATTGTTAAATATATGTATTCTGTCCTGCTGGTATTCCTGCCCAATTATTCTCATTTAATATTTTGTGCTCCAATAAAATTCCACTTAGTCTATTATCTTTCTTACTGTTTCTAGAACTGTAATTGGTCTTGCATTTCATATATTTTTCTCCCAATCTTTTGGTTTTGCTATTGGAAATATATAGCCCATTTTCCATTCATCTGGGATCTCTTCTTCTTGTAGTATTTGATTAAATAAGTTGACAAGATATTGTATTGCATTGACACCTATATGTTTCCATAGTTCATTAGCAATTGTAGATGGACCTGGTGCCTTCTTATTAGGTGATTTTCTAATTATTTTACTTATCTCTTCTTTAGTAAACTCTTGTATTAATGTTGAGTACCATTCTTCTCTAATTTGGCTCTTTGAGTTACTATATATTTCCTTCCATTCTGAATGATACTTTGGATTTTCTACTTTTTTCTTTTGTTACCTAATGTGTAAATGTATTTTGTATTTCTTGTTTAAATTCTATTGGATCTGTTATCATTTCTACTTCTGTGCCAACATATCTTACTATACTATTTGTTATAATTCTTGGTTATTCTTTGTTTAATAAGCTTCTAATAACTTTGGTTTTATTATCTAAAAAATTTTTATTTCTCTCTACTATTTGTTTTAGTATGCCTTTGTAATTTTCTTCTTTTATTTAAGTTTCAAATATTTTGCATAGTTACTGGGGTTGTCCTTTTACCTCTCTTAACCAGATTTTAGACTCATCATTTGTTTCCTTCCAACTTGGTATTACTATCTCTATCTCACATTCTTTTTTTATTTCATCAATTTTTTGATTAATTTTTAGTTCCATTATTGTTCTTCGTTTTTTGTCCATATACCATTGTCAACCCCAATTAAAAATTTTAAGCAATGCTACTACTTTCCCATAAGTTTCAAAATAATTATGTATTGAGAACAAAATTTTTGAATAATTTTTCTTTAATAAATTAATAATGGTCGAGACTAAATAAAAAAATTATTTTGGTAATAAACAAGTGGTCAAGAACAGGGGGGGGACTTGTTTTATGGCATTTTTTTTGGAAAAAATTGAATTCTGAACTAAATATTTCTATATAATATATGTTATTTAGACTTTCTTACTAATTCAATTTTTACTGATATAGATAATTGCTAAATTTATCACAGTACTGAATTATAATAAATGATTTTAATTTTATAATAAATATAAATAATAAATAAACTATTTAATATTAATTCAAAATTTAAAATTATTATTCATGTATTCCACTAATATTTTGTCTATATTCACGAATTCCTTTATCAAAGATATCTTTCAGTATTGTTTATTCATCTAACATTTGTTCATCTACTTTAATTGCAGATAAATCAGATGATGTAATTTAATGATTCCCATGATGGTGAATGACTCAAAGCAACATATGCTTGACCAGTAGTAAATCATCAATGTCAATCCTTGTGTTTTATGCACAGCCAAAGCAAATACATTTTGTAATGGAAACTGTTTATGTGACCCATAAATAATATAATAAACTGTTTCTTTAATGACTTTCACACAAGAATTTTCTTGTGTTAATGGAAATGCAACTATTATATTTTCTTCATCAAGAATTTCCAGTACAACTTCAATTGATCCATTATATAAACCATTAGAAAATAAATGATCATGTAAAAACATAACTCTAGTTCCTGGTACTAAAGTTATTATGATGGAAAATTTGTATGTTTCTAAATAATTTATCATTATCATCAGATGTCCATATGATCAGAGAATAAGAAATTAATGGTGTAGCATTTTCTAAAGGTCAAAAATTCAAAATATAATTATTTATAGTATCTATAATTTTATGATATCCCACAATATGTGTTGTCATTAATAAATGAAAATTTATTTAAAATTATAATATTTTGATTTAAGTATGATCAAAGTCTTGAAATAATGTCATAAATTTCTGAGTATGAAAAAAATTTGCAATTTGGTTCACACGAATAATATATGAGCAAAAATTTAAATTCAAGCATTCCTATACCTGGGAAACAATTTCACTTAGTCACTCAATGCCAGTTTTCTTGATCAAAGCCACAGAAATAATTTCACAAATTTCTAAATATAAAAAATTCGTGAGCATATTGCATTAAAAAAAAATTGTAATTTGGTCTACACAAATGATATATGTGGGAAATTTAAATTCAAACATTCCTATACCTGAGAAACAATTTCACTTAGTCGCTTAATGCCAGTTTTCTTGATCAAAGCCACAGAAATAATTTCACAAATTTCTAAGAAGAATAAAAAATTCGTGAGTATATTGCATTAAAAAAAATTGTAATTTGGTCCACACAAATGATATACAAGCGAAAATCTAAATTCAAGCATTTCTATACCTGGGAAACAATTTCTCTTAGTTGCTTCATTATAATTTAAAGCTTTTTATTTTATTTAAATTTTGATAAAAGAAAGAAAATCGATGCAAAGATCTCTTAACCAATGTTTACAATCTACTAATTTCATGGTGGAATGAACTTAACGACAAAATGATCCACGTTTACATATGCGACGAAGAAATCTTGTCAAACTTCATTATTGTTATTGTAGATTTGTTGTTTTCGCTATTGTTGTTGTGATTTCGCTATGATAATAAAAATAATAGTGAATGGTTGATATAAAATAAAGAATAAAGAAATAATAATAGTAATATAATAACTTACGTGTTTGATCAAGAACTAGTCCTAATTCAGCTTTATCAAATCCTTCGAAATCGAATTTAATATTACTTTTATCATTTGAAATATAGATTTAATTCTTCGTTACTCTCTCTTTCTTTAGATCTCTCATATATTTATACGCTCTATATTACATAAATATACATATATATATATGTACAGTATGTACATATACTGTATGAGATAAAAAAAAAACTATTTCTTCGTTTGTTTTTTTTTGTTTTTTTCAGAATATTTGTTAATATCAAAATATTAGATTGTTTAATATGTACTGTAGTAGATGATAGTAATAAAAATAATATCTCTAATAAAATTATTAATTCTATATTTATTTAATCTATATAAAATTATTTATTTATTTATTTTCTTTGATCTATGAAATACGATATAATAATGAATCGTTATATGAAATAGTTTCTTTATTTTTACAAATAATTTTTTTTTTTAATTTGGTAAAAGTATTGATTAATTAAAAAAAAACAATTTATAGCCTTGTCCTGTGCGTAATTTCTATTCTTCTTTTTTCTTTTGATATCAAAACCTAAAGATTCTTATATTCTTATCAATGAAATCAAAATTAATGAAATTAATGATATTGTTATCGTCATAATCATTAAATACTTATTCTTCTTCTTCATACATCAAGATAGTTTGCGAAACCATCACGTGATAATTTATCAGTTGATAATGTACTAATAAAAATGGTAATAATAGTAATTGTAATAATAATAATGCGAAACAAAACTTTTTCAAGTTTTCTCTTTTATAATGATTTTATTCTTGAACATTCGTTAATGATATTGTTCTTACTTATTATTAGTTATTTTAGTTATTTCTATTGTTGTTGGAGAAAAAGGAGGTGAAAGAGATTGTTATTGATGTTTGAGAAAGGAGAGAGATTGTACCATAAAGTAAAAAAGAGATGATAATAATGATAATAATAACTAATATTTTTGGGATTATTATTATTATCATTATTATATAAGAATTTCTTGTTAAATTCTTTGTAAGAACTTCTTTAATCATCTCCGTAAAAAGCTTTACAATCATCACCTATTATTATCAATGATAAATAAGAAATAATAAATGGGATGTTAAATAAATAAGAGTAATAATAAATAAGAATAATATAATTATTATAATATATTGTTATTGTTACCACTTCATTTTTTTTTAAATTCACCACCCCTTTTTTGGTGATAACGATGAAAGAATGTGAGACAAATCAAGTACAAGAAAAATATTCAAAGATACTTGGGAAAAGGTTGCAGTGAAAATTGTAAAAAAAAGAAAAAGTAAGAAAAATGAAAAAGGACACCAAAATTTTTTTATCCACGGCATTGATCTAATTTTGATATAGTTTAAGGATATAATGTTGATATAACGTTGAAATAACGTTGAAATAACATTTATATAATAATGATCTTCGTGAATATAATAACTGTACCGCATTTAATCCAAATATGTTCTTGATCTGTTAAAATGTAAATTTATATTTAAATTGATGTACAATTATAAATTAACAATATATCGGATTATATTAGAACGCGAGTTACGCGCGTAAATAAAATGAAAAGAAAATGAAAGAATTATCTATTACACATGCATAAAATTACATACAGTATATATCGTATAAATATTGTAAATGTTGTAAATTTTGTAAATATTATAAATACACGTGAAAGAAAGATATATTGTATATCTATCTCGTATATAAATATATTTTGCATTTTTATATAAGGCACTTATAAAAGAGTTCATTTTTATAATAATAATTTTTGTTTAAATTATTTGAATTAAAAAATGGTTTATGTATAAATAGTCTATATACGCCAAAGTTCCAAAAAAAGAATTTCGTTTATTATTTTAAAGAAAAAAAGATGACACAATTAACAATTAAGGGATGATAAAAATTATTTATTGGTCATACGAATGATGATAAATAATTATGATATTATGATAATTATGATGATAATGATTGAAAGAGGAAGAATTCACGATTGACTGATTAGTAGCGAATTAATGTAAATGTATTGATCTTGTGATATTGGGAGTTTTTATGCCGAATACAGGTTAAGTTAACATCCAAATTAGTTTTTTTTTCTTTTTAAATAATGATTAAAGTAAAAAAAAAGAAGCAAAGAAAAAAAAAAGAAATAAGGAATAAAAGAAAGAAAGAGAATACAGATAAAATTAATAAATAATAACAATAATAATTGATTATTGTCTACAAAGAAGAATAATATTAAATTAATGATAATTGTAATACGCGTATTTCTGCATTTTTCTCAAAATATCAAATAGATGTAATAAATATGGACAGATTAATTATTTAATATTACTATTTATATTTATTTCGTGAATTAATTAAAAAAAGGATCAATTCTTATATTAGTATTACAAATATTTAAAAGAAAAGGATTCATGATTTTTTAAAATATTTATTAAATTAATTATACAGTATTTAAAGTATTTAATTGGATTTTTAATGGATTTTAATGGATTTTTAATGAATATGTGCGCTATCATAAGGAAAAAGGAAGAAAAGAATAAGAAAATTAATGAATTTATTATTTATTATTTTTTATTATTTAAATTGATTTTTTATTATTGTCATTTATTAAATTTCTTATCTTTTATATATATTTAATATTGAAAATGATATAATTGTTAGTAATAATATTATTATCCTAGAAAGTCAGTAATATTGTACTGTCGATTACAATAGAATTATAGAAGAATTGGAAATTACGGCTGAAAACTTAATTCCAAATTTATCATTTTATTTAAATTACGAATAAAATTTAAATATTAAACTTAAATATAGAATTTTGAAAATATTTATATTCAGTGATAAAAAAGAAAAAAAAAAAGTGGTGGCTGAACGTGAAAAGAGTAAAAATTTTAAATCACAAACACAAAATCTTGTGTATACGCGAACTTTTAATAATATTTTAACAGTTAACAATAAAAAAAAAAAAGATGATGATAAAAAATTTCGAAACAACATTAAGGGGAATGATCAAAGAAGGTTTACCCCTTTGATGTTAAAATAATAATAAATTGATGAGAACAATAACAAATAAACCTGAAACATCAAAAAATTTTTAATTGTAGGTTATTTATGGTGAGATCATAATGATGAATAAAAGGATTCGGGTAATTGGAATATAAATCCCAACAGCCGAAAAACCTTACAAAAAAAAATATCAATAAACTATTCATTTGTTATCCTTTTTTTGAACTGTATAATTTACACTAAACATTTATCAAAGTTTTTTTAAAATTAATCAATCACAAGCAAATGATGATCTTAATCCAAATCTGTCGTTGAATGTTATTGTGGTAGTGAAATTTGGTAATTGAATTTCTATTATTGAAATCATTATTTTGTCATACTAAATCCAATATTACAATAACAACAATGAAATTTTATTATGAATTTTCAAAATTTTCGAAAATTTTATATCACATCATACCTCGTGCCGCAGGGATCAGGGGGTTTTCAGATCGCCGTATGTTACACCCTTCGAATATCAATTTTTATTCTTGTTTTTTTTTATAACCTAATATTTGTCACGTAAAATAATTCAATCACCTGAACACCATGTCCTAATATTAAATCATGTGTTTATTCTTATTGGATGAAAATCTATTTTTCTGTTAACTTTTATTATTAAATTTGATGTCATCATAGTATTAGTGTTAATATTAATAGTAATATTAGTACTAGTATTAGAATACTTTCAAGTACAGTTTTTTTTAAGGATCAAATTTGATAAACAACAGAGTATTCCCGATTTGTGCACAATACGATCAAGTGAGTGAATTGATTTTAACAATGAAATTTAAAATTTACTTCGATCATTTTGATTTTTGCTTGATATTTAGGAGACATTATTAAAATAAAGGTAATTTTTGATTTAATTTTGATTTCGTGTTTTGGCGTTACCGTTTTGATTCGTTTTATTTTCTTTTATTTATTTTTTGGGGGAGGAAGAAAGGAGCGCGCGTGCATATGTAAATATGATAGAAAATGCATGGATCCGATCGGAAAAAAAGGAAAAGAGAAGAAATAAAAGGGAGAGAAGAAAGAGAATACATCAATAGTCAAATACAAAAGAATCGCTGTACCGAATGGTAATTCCTATATTATAGATCAGCTAAAAATCGATAAAAATCGACCGTCCTAATGCATCCTATATTATAAATCAGCTAAAATAGGAATTACTTTTCGGTACAGCAATTCTTTTGTATTTGATCTGTGCATTTAACCTTTTACGATAGACTCGTTGATGAAATTGATTAGAATTGATTGCATAAGATAAATAAAGGTTGAATAAGTTATGCAATTAAATGTATAAAATGTATACAACGGTATAAAAACATAATCAAATTTAATTTATTAAAAATGGTTGATATGCTGTGCTTTAATTCGGGATTGATGATTAGATGATTTTCATCGGAAAATAATATTTTATCGTCTATGTCCGAAATGGAGTTATATTACAATATCGAGTTGTTAACATCATCAAATTTGCAAATTATTATTCGTGTGTGGATGTCTTATACACTACATATGCAATTTTTGATATTTTTGATATTTATGATATTTACGCTATATTTACATATGTGTGTATGCAAACGGTATCAAAAAAAATCTAAAGTTATCAATTTAGCAAAAGTGATGTAGTTAACAAATTTGGTTAATTATACAAAAAAAAAAGTAATCAAGTTATATGCATTTCGATATATGGAAATAATAGAAAATTTACTATATCCGAAATAATGATTGAAAAAGAATATAAAAATAAAAATTAGTATTGTTGTTTTTATTCATATTGTTTATATCACTTCCCTTACATAGAATAGTATAATTAAATTACCAAGAATTGGGAAAATAAATAAATTAATAAAATCTGATCAATGATCACTTTAAAAGGTTGCAACTAGAAATAACAAAAAATACAAAAAAATAATATTTATTTACATAGAATATAGAATATGCAATATACATCTTATACATCCCATAGTACACACGCATCCGATAAAATTATCAATAACAATAATAATAAATAAAGTAAATAATCGTCCAAAATAAAATATAAAGTAAAATAATAAAGTAAATTAAAATAATGTAAAGCAAAGTAAAATAAAATAAAATAAAATAAAATAAAATAACATAATATAAAATAAAATAAATGATTTCTATTTTGCCACTCTTACCAAATTTAATAAATTTTTGACAGAACATATTATATAAATATCATCTTTCCCTTCAAGAAATTTATTTTTTAATTGTTATAAAATAATTCTACAGATTTGACCAATTAGTTCTCCTTTCTTCTCAAAAAAAAAATAAAAAGCCCACGAGAACAAAAAAAAAAAATGAAACTTAAGTTCATTGTCCCCAAAAAATTTATTTATAAATAAAAAATATATAAAGTAGTCTATCAGTATACTTTAATCATCATAAAATATAAGTAAAGATGTCTCTGAACGCTACAAATCCATTCGATAATTCTATTAAAATCAAAGGTCCCAATCGATCCGACTACGAAGCTTATAGCTCGAAATGTTTCTTTTCTTATCCTCCCAATGGTACAGGATTTCAAACGGGTTACCTCGGTATTGGTCCATCCATAGTTTCTGGTAGATTTCACTTACGTTATCCTAAAAATCGTTCAATAAATATTTCAAAAATTACTTTGGCTTTAATAGGTAGTGAATATAGTGAATTTGATTCGGTACAAAATGAAAATAATAATTTCTTTGAATCGAATATCATTCTTTGGTCGTCAGCAGGTTACGTCAAAAATAATAAATATTATTATGACTATAATAATAACTATAATAATAATAATTATTGTGAACTAGTTTCTGAATTAGATCTTATATTTACATTTAAACTTGAAGACAATTTACCTCCTTCCTTTACTTGCAACAATATAACAAATAATGTTTCAACTTTTGGAGTTATATATATGTTCGTGGCTACTATATATAATAATAATAATGGTGTTCATAAAGTGATTAGATGCATTTGTCCAATCACACGATGGAGTTTACCAAATTTAGTCAAACAACCTGAATTATTAACTCGACCTAAATATAATAACCGACAATTGAATAATTTAACTTGTTTTGGCGGTGGAAATAAAATTGAAGATATTATTTATGATGCAAAACTTGAAAATAAGACTTATAACGTAGGATCAACTTTAAATCTTTTAGTTTCATTAATTTTATCCCCAACTTTTACTTCTTCGATAAAAGAGGTACGATTAGAAATCAAAGAATATCGAATTTTACAAGATTCCGGATATCGTGTATATTTGGCAAAATATAAGGTTGCCAATAATGTATATAAAGGAAATGGATTTATTAAGGAAATGATAGTCGATGAAAAAGATGGAGGCATTAAAGAAAATCGATATTTATTAGATTTGGAATTGGAAATTCCGAAATATGATATTATGCCAGATTTCGAAAATACTCGTAAACTTAAACATGTTAAATTGGAACATCAATTAAAAGTTAGAATTAAATTTGGTAGGTTTAAATCTTTAATATTAAAAGGTGAAATCTTAATTAAAAAGTTTTTGAGTGAAAAGAAGCTTGATTTGGCAATTAAAAATGGAATGATTTATAATAAAACATAATTTACCCAACTTCAACAATTATCAACGACTTCAATAAGCTTTAATAGTTAACAAATAACAAATATGAACATTCAACAATCAACAAATTTTCCTTATTTCTTTAGAATACACATTTCAAATAAGAATTTTTTGTATAGGAAAAAAAAAATAAGCTTTTTGTTTAACTAATTTAAAATATTTACGAATGCGAATATTATTTATTAGATTTTTTTCAATTCACCAACTCATCCAATTCACTCATTTCTCAATATTTTTTTCGAAATGAATATCAATTTATAAATCATTTTTTTAAATTATGTTTCAAATTAAATTATGTACTGTATGTTTTATAAAGAAACAATTTTTTTTTTAAATTTAAATATAAATATAAATATATAATAAATATAAATATAATAAATATTTTATTCATGGCCTATTTTTTAAACATATTTTAAAACCAAATTTTAAAACGTAAATTTAATATTTTTCTTGGCAAAAGAATTTAAATAAATAAAAAAAATATGATGTAAAATGTAAACATAAACAGCTAACGAAAGAAATTTCCAAAGTTTTATTTTTTTTTAAATATGGATTACGTAATTTTAGAAAATTATGTAGAGGATGGAGATATTGTGATTTTTCTTGGTTGTCGAATTATCGATGGCAGATTCATCAAAGAATAAGTTTACTTTATTGAGTTATTCGGGAACTTTTCGTGTTGCAGATGGTGAGATTACATATTTTTCAGCAATTAATCAAAGCACTAAGGCTTAGATCTTGATCAGTTTATTGGTTAGCAATGCACAATAATTACATAACATTATAAACAACCATTAAAATTGCTTAAGCAAAAATTTTATTATTTGCAGAATTGTATGTATTTATTTATTTTTTTTTTTGTTGATATTATTAAATTAGAAGTCAGGCAAGAATTTTTCATTATTTAATTGATATAAAATGATTAAAATAATATAAATGGAGTAGAAGTTTAAAGATGCAACTATTTTCTTGTACTAATCTTTGATAGGCAAGCGATTTACACATATAAAAATCAAAATTAAAAATTTAATTTATGAAAATGTAGCGAAAATTATATTTTCAGCTCGGACATGTGCATTCAGTATATCTTTCCCTGTATGGATTTAATTATTATTTTTTTTTTATAAAATTATTAAAAAGAATTCATTTATTCAGTGAGAGCACCATCGAAAATTTCTTGCAATGACTCATTATCAAAGAACAGCTTGTCTGGATCATATTTTTCACGTATTTTCTCAAAGATTTTGATTTGCTTTTTGTGAGCTTGGGAAAGATACGATATTATATTAGGCACAAATTCCCATTCTTTGGCCCAATGGGGTCTATTGAAGAAAGGCAAGAAATAATTCACAACACCAGGGTTAATTCGAATTCTAATGATTTAAATTAGCAAAAAAAAAAATGAATATACTTCGCGTTATATTTTTGGATCCATCTCTGTGCAAACGATGAAGCGAAAGTTTGGAAACCAGATGTATAACGATAAGTGGTCAAATCCATGATGCAGTAAATAGCATTTGGATCTGTGTCGAAGTTAGGCGCGAGTAAAGAATGCGAAGATCTTATGATTCGTGTTTCGAGAACCAAGTTAAATGGGAAAGAATTTTGTGCTGCAGCCGCGTAAGTCTGTAAATTATAGAAATTGTAGTAAGTTCCATTTTTTTTTCGTAATATATATATATGTCTATAATAATCGAAATTAAAGAATGCTAACCGCATCGATGACAGCCTGATGTTCCTCAACAAAATTCTTAAAATCTTTATCAACTTTGAATCCGAATGCAAATAAATCTGACGGTATATTTTTTGCATCGGAGGACAAAAAATGGATCGCGTCGGGAGCCTGAAGTACAAGGCTGTACTCTGATAATCCGGGCCCCTCACGCCAGAGTGATGAAGTAACGATTGGAGTAGTTTCTGGATTTTCAAGCATAACCTGATATATATAATTCGCATGTAAAGCAGAATCATTTCGAAGAGCATGTATGGCAGTAAGTTCTTCTTGGGAAAGAGTTGGCTTTTCGTCGGTTCGCACCCATTGTTTTATCCACATTTTATCCTTGGTCGGATCAAGTGGTTGCGATTCTTTTGGGTCATATGAGTTGAATGGCCAATAAAAGATATGAAGACTGTCCGAAGATTCAAACAACTGCTTGATGGCAGATGGAACAAGGAAATCTTTGGCTAACGGAGTAGTATCTGTCATACGAAGATTAAACATTGGCTCCGTGCGGAAGGTCACAGAATAAATGATACCAAATAAGCCTAACAAAAAAAATGGTTAATACCGAATCCATAATTTTTCTCATTAAGTTTTATAAGTTTCGATTACCCAAGTTAAGTCTGGCGGCATCCATTTCAAAAGCATTCGTTGTGTTGCAGAACTCGTACAGTTTGCCATCGGCGGCAACAATCGTCATTGAAACAACTTGATCAGACATGATGCTTAATGTGGTTTTTGCGCCATGTGACCCAGTTGCAACAACACCCGCAGCTCTAAAGTAGTCTGGCGTAACTGCTGATGAAAGGGCCAACGGCGGGTTGTTGGTTCGTAGGGCGTTATCGATTTCGTTTATTGAAGTGCCTGAACGGTTTTCATCATCAATTAAATTAGTCAATCATAACGGTTATTATCTACCTAACCATGCGATCCTATCATTGAAAAGAACCTACCAGCTTCCGCAGTAACGACCCAACCATAATTTTTGTCCTGCAGAATTTGAACATTATTTAAATTATTAACTATCACCAAATATTTCTTTGTCACTGACAACGAACTAAAGGTATGTCCCTGAGCGGCACACCGAATCGTTTTCCCATTCATTCTTGCCAGGTCCACGATGTCTTGAAGGTCAGTGAGCGTGGTTGGCTTGAAAATTGCTTCAGGCGCCAAATGGATATTTCCAGCCCAATTATCCCATGTTTTATCAGAACTTGGAGTTGCGGAACGAAGCGTAAATTTATTTCGGTACAATGGCGACCGATTTTTGTATTTTCTTGATAGGACGGCTTCGAAAATTGAGACATTTATTATTATTAAAATTATGGAAAATATTAGTCCAATTAGTTTGGTCATCGCGAATACTCGGATTATGCAACAGGAACTCAACAATGTACGATTCAAATACTCTTTAAATTGAATTTATCTTTTCTTCCTTTTTTTTAGTATCAGATATATTGAAAGCGTTAGTCCAATGAACTTGATGGCAAAGCAACGAGTACAGAAAACAATAAATGAATTTTGACACTTCTTTTTTGGCTAAGTTTAATATATAAGGATAGTAATTTGCAACACCAGATCTCTCATATTAGACGTTTCACTTAAGCGACTTTTTGCTTATTAGAGATTTATTGAAAGCGTTTGTCCAATATACTCAATGACAAAGCAGCGAGTGCAGAAAAAAATAAATAAATATGAATTTTGACACTGCTCTTTTTTTGGCTAAGCTTAATATATAAGGATAGTATAATTTACTTATTAGCATAGTATTTATAGTAACAAAATAAAAAAAAAAAGCATAAACTATAAACTTGATTTTTTTTTAACAATAATTAAAATTAAAATTAGATACTTAAGATATAAATAAAATTTAAATGTAATAATACGTAAAAAAGTGAATGATGTATTTCATTAAATAAAATATTAATATTAATTCTAATAACAATTATTTATATTGGTATGCATATTCTTTTTTTATGTTTACAAATTAAATATAAATATTTTTTAAACAAGAATAAATTATTACTTCTCGATTCTTACTCTTTTTCATGTGAATGAAAAAAAAAAATAAAAATAAAATTTCGTACGATTTTAATCATTTGATAATTATTGCTGTATATTCTTTTTTTCATGTCATGTTTACAGATTAAACGTAAATATTTTTACCAAAGTAATAATTGCCCCTCTATTTTCATGTGTATTCGTAATTTTCTCCTTTATTTTTTTTTCGATCTACCCGATTTTTAAACGATTATTTGTTATATTCTTTTTTTCATTTATTTTACAATCAAAAATATTAAAAAAAATAACTACTCCTCGATTTTCATGTGCATTCCAACATTCCAAAAAAAAAAAATTGGCTTTTTTTTTTTGATCTATGAAGGACCAATATTTTTTTTTTTTAAAAAAAAAATAATTTAATTCATAATTAAAATTACGTGCATGACATTACATGACTAATGAACGGTTATTATAAAAGAAATAACTGCAATTTCGAGATAATATTACTTAAGGGCAAATTTATTATCTACAAAGGCTACAAAGGCTGGGATGCATTAGGTTTCTCTTTTATTCTCCCTTATTATCCTCTATTCTTACTTCTCACTTATCCTCCTTTTCTCTCTTACTCTCTGTTTCTCTTTCACTCTTCATTTCTCTTACACTTTTTCACTCTTTCGATTAAGTTAAATAATACAATTAATTCTTAATTTTATGTTATTTTAAAGGTTATGCTACTTCGATCAAAGTATGACATTTTTTTCTAAACAATTAAATGTGCAACAAATGTAATACTGCAATCTTGATCCTATTCGAAACGACATTTAATCTTATATTTAATCATTATTATAAAAATTACGATAATTTTATAAGAAAATTATTATATCAACTGTAAAAACTTGTATAAATCATATTATTTATTCTGAATTATGAGATTTTAGAATTATTTTTTTTTTTGAATATCTTGAATTATAATTTTGAATAGTTATGCTACATATAGACACCAAAAATAGAATGTTATCATACAATAAATAAATAAACGGTCCATCTATGTTTATATTATTATTCTTAATAATTATTATTGTTTATATCCGAATTAAGAAGTCGTCTGGACAGATATAATAACTCTTGCAGCTAATAATTAATATTCATTTTTCGAGCACATGATGTAATACTTAAAAATGATTAAATTTATTGTTCAGTCTTGTTAAAAATTTGGTTTGGTATCGGGAAATGATTGGAATGCGAATTTTATTAAGATATTACTAAGATTTGGTTTATTACTATATATGATTGGTTTATTTTCTTTTTATTCTTATTTTCCTTTTCTATTTTACATTTTTAATTCAAAGTCTTGAAATGATGAATCGAAGGCTCTGGTGATCATGATCATGAAAAAATGAAACTGAACAAGATGTAGATGATGAGGATGAGAATACAGAAGATGAAGGCAAAGGTGTTGAGTATTGGGAGCGAGCAAGGTGAATATACATAAATGTGATGATGATTTTTAAAAGACTAATCTATTAAAACTTAGGAACCATTAATATCAAAGTAATATTCTTTCCCAAATAAAAATAATGATATCGATGATGATGGTGATGAATGTGAAAAAAAAATGATGATGTGATGAATGTAATGATGGAAATAAAAAATTTATAGATATCAAAAATAGAAATCCAATAGAGACATATAATAGCAACAAGTACAACAACAATAATCTAATGAGAAATAAATAAATTTTAATTTCTTAATTGAATAATTTCTACCAAATTAGAACTTGGTAGAAGAAGACGGTAGTAAATAAATCAAATTTCGAAGTAGCATCATCATGATTGTTTTCGACTTCTCCATCGATGATATTTAATACTTAAGCCTACTGTGAAATTTGGAGGTGGATCTGTGATGCTTTACGTCACGTGGTGTTTGTTCTTTTGTAAAATTGATGGCCAAATTATATCAACAAATACTTTGTGAGGATCTCTTGGATTTGCTATCAAAGATATAATTTTCAACGGGATGGAGACCCTTAACATACAGCAAATTCAACAAAATGCTGGTTTCAAAGAAATTAAATAAAGGCTTAGGATTTGCCCACTCAATCTCCAGATCTTAACCCTATTTAACATTTGCGGAATGAAATAGATCGTCATCTTTGTCAACTCCCTGGACAAATTTTGGGTAAGGAGGACTTGTGGATCAAAATTCAACAGGTTTGGCAAGAGATTGACATCAATACTTGTACCGCTCTATGCCAGAAAGAATTCATGATGTTATTAAGGCTCAGGGAGGATACACAAGATGGTAGTGTATTTCATATCTAATTTGGTATAAACAAAAAAAAATTTAATCCGTATTAATTCAATTGTACTGAGTTAAGTGAACTATGTTGGGAAAGAAAATAAGAAATGCAAAGTACATACTTTCTGAAAAAAATTTAAATCAGAAAAATTTTTTTTTTTATTTTTTATTTTAATTTTTTTTATTTGAACTGTAACTATTGGCAAATAAAAATAAAAAATAAAAAAGATATCAAATTTGTACGAAAAATACAAAAAAAAAAATAATAATTTTGCAAAATCGAAATCGTGTTGCATTACTTATGATCGCCATTATATACTTACTAAATCTCGATGAACAATATTTGCTTTATGCATACAACATAAACCATTTGTTATATCTTGGGCCATATTGATTTTAGTTTTCCAACGAAGTTATTTCGTAAGTAAGTTCTTAAATTATCATCATCGGCATATTGTAACACTAGGCAGTAAATTGGAAATAATAAATAATAATATTCAATATTTTAATGTTTTATTATTTAATTGAATATTATATAACAAAAATTCAATAAATATCATTTAAATATTGACTCCATAATATTTTATAATATTTTCGTGGTTATTTACTGCATTAATGTTTTATAACTAGTTTGAAAAAGCAATTGTATTTAATTTCTTCGTAAAATATTCCTAATTATTGTAAACTTACCTTATTCATAAATACTTATAAAAATTATCATATCTTCATTATGCAAATATTTTAATGCAACATCTTTTTCTAAATCTTTCGAATAGGTACGATTGACTGTACTAAATCCTCCTCTTTCAATTAGTTTGATATCTTCAATCAATTTTTCCAATATTTGGCAAAGAGAGATTTACATCAACCTAAATACCAATATAGAAATTGAAACGTTACTTCAAATCCTAAAGAAGAAATTATGTGCGTTATGCATTGCATACGAGAACAACGAAAATCAAATCTGTAAAATATACATTCTGACAATTAGCATTTATGTATTTCCTTGTAAATCTTTGCTGATTAATTAGAAAAAAAGATCATCCTATTGAAATTTATTAATATTATATTTCAGAAGGTGAAATGAAACCTCAATTTTTATTAGAGATATTATTTATAATAAAAATTAGCAGGGAATTTGTAAGATTTCATATACATATAAAATATTAAAATTGGAACACAGAACAGGGAATAAATTTAAATTTAGGAAAATCAACCATCACATATTCTTAGAGAAAGCGATTAATTTAATATCAGATATAGAAATTAATTAAAATTTCTCTTTTAGGCATTAATACGAAATTCATTTATATTTTTGAATATTCACGTGAATTGATTAACATTAAATTTTACATTTTAGGGGAAATTCTTGTTTCTAAAATTTTGGATGTTTCATATTTGTCTATGTTTATGTTATGTAAATCATCTCCTGTCTCAAAATTACGAATGCTCGAATATATAATAAATATAATAAATATAATAAATATTATAAATGATGCATTGAATTGGATTTGATTATATATCACATTTTCTGGGAAGAAAATGGCTTATAAATGATGCATTGGATTTGATTATATGTCCACATTGTCTGGGAAGAAGATGGCTAAAAATTCTGGAAGCAAGAATTTGAATAAATCTTTTACGTTTCAGTGAACCATATGATATGCGATCTCTATATTCTCCTGTCTCAAATTATGGACGCTAGGATATATAATGTTAGACTATTATAAATGTATGATTAGATTTGGATTAGATGTTCACATTGTTTGGGAAGAAAATTGAGGAAGAAAGAATTTGAATTAATGATGATTATTAATTTACGTTTCAGTGACCATGTATTCTCGATCTCTAAATCTCATGTCTCAAATTATGAATGCTAGAATATATAGTAAATATTTTAGACTATTATATAAGTATGTATTAAATGTTTACACGTTTGGGAGGAAAATAACGGAATAAAGAATTTGAATTTACAAAGATAATTTATGTTTCGGTGACCATTTAAATGAATGTCGCGGTCTCTATTTTTTTTTTTTTATAAATACCCTTTTGAATTCCTCCAAAATTTTTTTCATCAAAAACTTCATTTTCATTTCAAAACATAGCAACTTTTTTACTTTTTTTATTTTCATTTTTTCAAAATGCAATCATCATTATTCATCAATTTCATCACATTTTTCATATTAATCACAATTATTTCTGTTTCGGCTGGTCCGATTAAATGTCCTCCTATCAATTCTACTGCATCTAACTCTACACAAAAAAGATATGTCGTTTTTTTGTCAAATGATAAGACTCACTATAAATGGTTAAAAGAATGTTACAATAGAACCGTGCAAAGTATAAAAACCACAAAAATACCTGTTGACAAAAATTCCATCCTAGATATTTCAATAAAAGGAAAATTTTATGCTTATAGTACTTGGTATTATCCGGAATTTGCTAAAAAATATTTATCAGAACGTCCAGAAACCATTTTGGTTGAGAAAGATTTACGTGTGAAAATTAATCAGTGTCCGAAGAAAAATGAATCATCAACTAATTTAACGGTACAGACGAATCCAACTTTTAATTTGGATCGCATAGATCAAGCTAATTTCCCTTTGAATAAAAAATATATTTTCCCATCATCTGCTGGCTCTAACGCTATCGTATACGTTGTTGATACGTAAGTATTGTTAATTAATAAATATCATTATTATTCTTATTATCTGATTATAATTATTATTTATAAATAAATTATAGTGGCGTTTTGGTCACGCATAAAGAATTTGAAGGGCGTGCTTCGTTTTTAGGCGCTTTCTGTGTTGGTTGTCCTGATACTGATGACAATGGTCACGGTTCTCATGTATCAGGAATTGTTGGCGGTAAAACGTTCGGTGTCGCAAAGAAAGTGAAAATTGTTGGTGTCAAAGCTTTAGATTCTAAAGGTCAAGGAACAAACGCTGACATTATAAATGCTTTAATATTTGTCCTTATTGATGCGATGGAGAAAAAGAACAATGCTATTATAAAGTATGTACAAAAAAAATTTTTTTTTTTCGAATAAAGGATCAAATATAAATTTGATATTAATTTATTAATTTTTTTTTTCTTTAGTTTGTCCATTGGTGGTCAACGTTCGGAGGCCTTAAATAAAGTAATAAAACTACTTACAGATAATGGAATTCACGTTGTTGTAGCTGCTGGCAATGAGGCTTCAGATGCTTGTCTGACATCTCCTGCTTCCGAGTTATCAGCAATTACCGTTGGAGCAACCGAGGTTAAAACTAATGATATCACAAATTTTTCGAATTTTGGTAAATGTCTTGACATTTTTGCTCCAGGCCGGAACATTACTTCTGTTGGAATTCAAAGTAATACTAGTATAGCAACATTTTCTGGAACAAGTCAAGCTACTCCTCATGTTGCTGGAACTGTAGCTTTGATAATTTCAAAGTTTGGTAACCAAAAACCTGATGAAATGATAAAGACTTTGGTTAAATTTTCAACAAAGAACCTTATATCTAATACAAAAGGTAGTCCAAATAATTTCTTGAGAATTCCTCCACCATAGCTACTATACAGATGCAAATATTTCTAAAATTTACATATAATGAATATTTCGACGTTTGACATTATTTCTCATATTTTTTTTTTTTTTTAAAAAAAAAGTCTTTAAAACTAAACTCTGTTAAACTTCTTAATTATAAAGATGATAATAATGTAATATTGAAGTTGAAAATAAATAAATAAAAAAAAAAAATATTTACGGCACATTCTAATATATTGAATTAATTTACTATTTATTTATGTAAATTTCTTCCTAACTAAATACAACCTTGCCTATTATATGTTTGTCTTTAAAATAATGAAGTATTAGGTAAAATTAAAACAGCAACATTTTTAACTCCCGAACGACCAGTAAAATAACTTATTTTATTTGCAAGATCTGTTTTAGTTACGCTAAACTTAAATAGTGATCCATAGCAAATAATACGAGCAAGCAGAAAAAGGAAAATTTATATTCTTAGAGATATTTATTAAAGGGAAATTTGATCTATACGATCCAAATTTGGAGTTTTCTGTACTGTTGAACTAAAATGGTTTCTGAACGTTCTTTTGAGTGTTTTTCCGCAACATCCGTAGAATGCCAAGCACTATAAGCATAAAATTCCCTTCTATTGAATAATCTAGGATGGAATTTTTGTCAATAGCTTTCTTCGTGGTTTTTATACTTTGCACGGGTCTATTAAACATTCTTTTAACCCATTTATACAAAAACGATATATATTTTTTGTGTAGCGCTAGATTCAGAGGACATTTTACTACACCAGCACTGGCAGAGACAGAGATAATTGTGATGAACTTGATTAATATTACTGAATAATTTTGAAACGAAAATGATTTTTATATTATACTAAAAACATTTTGAAATAGGAATTCGAAAGGGTATTTATTAAAAAAAAAATTAGTGATCTAAAATACATGTATTTCAATGGTCATTTCTTTCTATGGTTGATTTAAATTCATCAATAACGTAAATTTTATATACGAAATCTTAAAATGATAATATATATTTTTATTAATTTCTTGTCTTCTTTAAAGCTGCCAACTTTACATTATAAATAAATACCTCTAAAAATATAAATTACAGTCCTTGCTTGCGTGCGTCATACATACAGTATATTGAACTCGATCGAACATCTGATTTGCTTCAGGATCAATATATTCTTCGAAAAAAAAAGTTCTTTTAGTTTACTTGTACGAGTAGTTAATTCTGTGACTAAAACAGATTTTGTGGACAAAATAAGTTATTTTATGGTCGTTCTGGAGTTGATAAATGCTGCCGTTTAATTTCATCTAATACTTCATAATTTGAAAGGCAAATATATAATAAACATTGTTTCAAAGTAGTTTTTAATAGAAATTCACATAAAATAAATAGTAAATTATTTCAATATATATTAAAATTTGACGGAAACATTTTATTTATTTTCTACTTCAATATTATATTGTTATCATCTTTATAATTAAGAAGTTCAACAGAGTTTTAAAACTTTTTTTTAAAAAAAAAAAAATATGAGAAACGTCGAAACGTTCATTATATGTAAATTTTAGAAATATTTGTATCTGTATAGTAACTATGATGGAGGAATTCTCAAGAAATTATTTGGACTGCCTTTTATATTAAGTAGAATGTTCTTTGTTGAAAATTCAACCAAAGTCTTTACCATTTCATCAGGTTTTTGGTTACCAGACTTTGAAATTATCAAAGCTACAGTTCCAGCAACATGAGGAGTAGCTTGACTTGTTCCAGAATATATTTTTGTATCAGTATTACTTTTAATTCCAACAGAAAGAATGTTCACGCCTGGAGCAAAAATGTCAACGCATTTACCAAAATTCGAAAACCCTGCGACATAATTACTTTTATCCTCGGTTGCTCCAACGGTAATTGCTGATAACTCGGAAGCAGGAGATGCACTGCATGCATTTGAATTCTCATTGCCAGCAGCTACAATAACGTGAATTCCATTATCTGTAAGTATTTTTTTTACTGCTTCATTGAAGGCTTTTGAAATTCTACTACCAAGGGACATACTAAAAAAAAAAAAAATGAATTAATATCAAATTTATATATAACCATCTGTTCAAACAAGGAAATTTTTTTACACATACTTTACAATAGCATTGTTTTTTTTCGAAATCACATCATCAAGAACACTTGAAAAAGAGCTTATGATATCAGCGAGTGATCCCGAACCTTGAGAATCTAAAACTTTGACACCAACAATGTTCACATTCTTTGCGACACCGTACGTTTTACCGCCAATAATTCCAGATACATGAGAACCGTGACCATGGTCATCAGTATCAGGACAACCATCACAGAAAGTGCCTAAATGCGAAGCGCGCCCTTCAAATTCTTCATGCGTGACTAAAACGCCTCTATAATAAATAACAATTATAATATTATATTAATAATAAAATAATACTATTTTAATTATCAATTAATTAATTAATCACTTACGTATCTATGACATATACGGTAGCTTTAGAGCCAGCAGATGATGGGAAATCATATTTATTATTCAAAGGGAAATTAGCTTGATCTATACGATCCAAATTAAAAGGTGGATTCGACTGTACTGTTGCAATCTTTACAGGTGAATCTTTTTCAACCAAAGTGGTTTCTGGACGTTCTTTTATGTGTTTTTCTGCAAATTCCGGATAATACCAAGTACTATAAGCATAAAATTTTCCTTCTATTGAAATATCTAGGATGGAATTTTTGTCAACAGCTTTCTTCGTGGTTTTTATACTTTGCACAGGTCTATTGTAACATTCTTTTAACCATTTATAGTGATCCTTATTATTTGATAAAAAAACGATATATCTTTCTTGTTTAGCGTCAGGTGCAGTAGAATTGATAGGAGGACATTTAATTGGAGCGGCCGAGACAGAAATAATTGTGATTAATGTGAAAAATGTGATGAACTTGATGAATAATGATGATTGCATTTTGAAACGAAAATGATGTTTATAATAAAAAACATTTTGACGAAGGAGTTCGAAAAGGTATTTATAAAAAAAAATAGAGATCGAGAATAATGCATTTCAATGGTCGCTGAAACAATTCTCCGTATAAATTCAAATTCTTTATTCCGTTCCACCAAACACCAAACATATAAACATTTAATGCATACATTTATAATAGTTTAATATACTTATTATAGCATTCAAAATCATAATTCGAGACAGGAGAATTAGAGATCGAGAATACATGCATTTTGTCATTGTAAATTCAAATTCTTTCTTCCGCCAACATATAATCAGGTAATACAACTTCGTAAATGGTAACCAAATCTAATGCAATGCGTACATAATTTGAGACAGTATCACCTAAAATGCTAATCAAATCACGTAATATCACGTAAGTTCAATTTTAATTTATTTCTATACTATATAGAAATTTCTATTAAGTTAATCTCTTTCTATGGTTAATTTTCCTAAATTAAAATTTATCACTCCAATAGATGTAGTATCAAAATTTAATAACGTAACGTAAATTATATATATGCGAAATCTTAAAATAACAACATATATTTCCTTGTTTTCTTCAAAGCTAATTTTACATTATATGAATAGTAAATATGTTTTCCATCATCTGCTGACTCTGGCGCCGTATATATCGTAGACAGTATTGTCACTGGACGCGAACACGGACAAAATTGGGACGTCCGCATCGCTGTCCCATAAAGCTTGACATTATACTGTACATAAAACATCCAGGATATTATATACTGTATATGATTGACATTCACAATTATTTTTAGTAATCTTTATTGTTTATTAATTATTATTAATTGTTATTATTATTTACATAATTTATACTTCTTTATAGATATCACTGTGGATGACACACAAGGATAATTTATCCAAATAGTTACACCTATCATCCCCCGTGACCGTGGCGCCTCAATATTTATTCTAGAGCTTAATTCCTATTTAGTATAGAGTAAATTAAAAATTTCCTCTTTTTGAAATTAACATGCGAAATATATATTTTTGGGTATCACGTCACGGAATTTTGATGTGTATGAAGAATTTGAATTTACAATGGTCATTGAATAATGCAAGAATATATTATAAATAAATGTCCCCGTTGGATTTTAAAAAAAAAAAAATATTATAAATAAATGTATGTATTAAATTTTACCATCGAAATGCATGTATTATCGTTCTCAATTTTTTTATAAATAATCTTATGAATTCCGCCTCCAAAAAAAAATTTTTTTATTTTCTTTTCTTCAAAATGTATTCATCCTTATTCATGAAGTTCATCACATTTTTCATATTAATCTTCATTGCCTCAGTCTCTGCTGATCCAGTAAAATGTCCTCCTATCAATTCGACTGCATCTAACGCTACACAAAAAAGATATATCGTTTTTTTATCAAATGACAAGGTTCACTATAAATGGTTAAAAGAATGTTATAATAGACCTGTGCAAAGTACAAAAACCATGACAAAAACTCCATCCTAGATTTTTCAGTAGAAGGAAAAATGTATGGTTATAGTACTTGGTATAGTCCGGAATTTGCAGAAAAATACTTAAAAGAACGTCCAGAAACCGTTTTAGTTGAGGAAGATTCACCTGTGAAGATTACCAATCTACAACAGTACAGGAGAATCCACCTTTTAATTTGGATCGTATAGATCAAGCTAATTTTCCTTTGAATTCTTACTGGCTCTAAAGCTACCGTATATGTCGTTGATACGTAAGTATATCAATTAATCGATATTATTTTATTATTAGTATAATATCATAATCATAGTAGTATTATTTTATTATTAATATAATATTATAATTATTATTTATTAGTGGCATTTTAGTCACGCATGAAGAATTTGGAGGGCGTGCTTCGTATTTAGGCTCTTTCTGTGCTGGTTGCGCTAATACTGATGACAATGGTCATGGTACTCATGTAGCTGCAATTATTGCGGTAAAATATTCGGTGTTGCAAAGAAAGTGAAAATTGTTGGTGTCAAAGTTTTTGATGGCACAGGTATGGGAAGTTTCGCTGATATCATAGCTGGTATGTCAGCTATTCTTTCTGATGTGACTTCGAAAAAGAACAAGAACAATGCTATTGTAAAGTATGTGTAAAAAATTTTTTTTTGAATAAATTATAAAATATAAATCTGAAATTAATTCTTTTTTTTTTTCTTTCTTTAGTTTATCCTTTGGTGGTGGATTAAATCAAGCCGCCAATACTGCGGTAAAAGCACTTACAGATAATGGGATTCACGTTGTTGTAGCCGCTGGTAATGAGGCTTCAGATGCTTGTCTGACATCTCCTGCTTCCGAGTTATCAGCAATTACTGTTGGAGCAACCGAGGCTATTTCTAATGATCTCGTAAATTTTTCGAATTTTGGTACATGTGTTGACATTTTTGTTCCAGGCGTGAACATTCGTTCTGCTGGAATCCAAAGTAATACTAGTATAGCAACATTTTCTGGAACAAGTCAAGCTACTCCTCATGTTGCTGGAACTGTAGCTTTGATAATTTCAAAGTTTGGTAACCGAAAACCTGTTAAAATGGCAGAGATTTTAATTAAAATTTCAACAAAGAACATTATACAATAGGTAGTCCTAATAATTTCTTGAGAATTCCATACAAACATAGAATCTAACATACAGTGGTGTGCAAAAAAAAATGATCAATAAGTGTAACAATTTCGATTTAGCCAGAATTACTCAAATTAATATAGAAATAAAAGCCAAATGATCGTTCTATCGTTCCTTGAAAAAAATTTCCCACTTAATAATAAAAATTATATTTTTACCAAGCATTATAATGGCTTTCTAAACAAAAAATACAACAGCAAACCATATTACATTTCTGAAGGGAAGAAATACGTAATGCACTCATTAACAAAGATTCAACTTAGACTTATTTAGTGGCAAAGCAGTTTTTCATTTATTCTGTAATCTAACCAAACTTTGATACAAAAATGCAAGGCCAATTCATAGGAATGATATCAAATATTTGTATGGGAAGATTTTTGTGTAAAAGGTAAAACAAGTCTTTAACATTTTAGATGTATAATGGATGGAAAATTTTATACAAAAATCTTAAAAAAAATATTCCGGAGGTCCACAGTATGTTAAAAGGTAGATGGCAGCTACAACAAGATACTGATCCTAGATACACTAGTCGTATTGCTAAGTAATTCTTTAATAATAATGTTCTCAAAGTTATGGACTGGCCCTCCAATAGTCTGGACTTAAACCCTAATGAAAACCTTTGGGTGATTATTAAGAGGAATGTAGAGTTGTGTAGACCAAAAAATCTCAGTGAATTAAATAGTTTTCAGGGTGAAGAATGGGAAAAAATTTCTAATATTCTTCTAATATATTTTGTAAATTCAATTCCACAATGTTGTAAAGAAGTTATTGAAAAAAATGGTGAAAGATATCATATAAATTTTTTTTAATAAAATCTGTCAAGTTTCAGCTTTAAAATGATGTAATATACATTTTAATTGATGCAATGATCATGTCGATAACGTGATTTTAAAAATTGTCATTTTTGCGCATCACTAATAAACAAACATAGTTTTTTTTTTAAAAAAATATCTTTAAGATTTTTTGATAAATTTTTTCAAAACTTTGTTGAACTTAAACTCTTAATTATAAAGATAATCATTGAATTTGAAAATAAATAAATAAAAATCGTTTAGAAATAATTTTTACGTAAATTTCTTAAATCTGCTTGACATAAAAATTTTCTTGACTGTTACACTGCCCAGAACACGAAGTAAAGTTACGACAATTAGTCTCACTAAATCGAATTCTTATTACGCCCCCTTTTCACACTCTTGCGTACAGTACATCATACGTAATAATATACTCTTTTCAGTTAGGATCAAGCCGTCACTTGCCTAAACGCTGCGAACAACTACTAAAATAACTCTATAACCGTGCACACAGGTGTAATCTGAAGGTACGTGAGTAAGTGGAGTAAAAGTATCCTCTTACAGCTTACTATGCAAACTTTTGAATCTTAGCTTCAAACTTCACGCAGTAACTTTATTCATGAAATAAAAGTAGTTTATGAAAAATTATTATAAAGTTGGTAATAGAGGTATTACGGGCTGTTAACCGTTTCTCACCAATATTACCATTATCACGAAATAAAATTTATTGAAGTATTACGAGATATTTCGAAATTATTACTATTGTTATCAAATTTACTAAACCATTGCAAAAGAATATTTATTGTCTTTTTCAAATTATTACAAGATTTTCAAGAAAATTATAATTATATTTTGTGAATATAAAATGTAAATCCCCGAAATTAATCAAAAGAAAATCAAGTCTCTGTTTTTCAAAAAGGTCTCCCTATTTATTTTTATACCTTTGAGTTGTTTACCTTATTCTTTATTGTTGCGTCTGAGCATGTTTCCCCTTTTCTTAAAGATGACACACAAGGATGAAAGATATTGTCCGAGGATGAAAAATCCGTCATCCTGGATGGTAGTACACTCATCTAATTTCACCGTCATCTTGCCATTATCCCCCGTGACATTCGTAATACTTCGAAATTTGCACAACACTCTTGTAAAATTCACTACTTTAATGCAATGCCTAATATATGTTTGCCTTTCAATTTATGAAGTCTTAATTAAAAATTAAAACATAAGCATTTATTAACACCCGAACAACCAGTAAAATAACATATTTTCTACAAGATCTGTTTTAGTTTCAGAATTACCTCTTCGTACAAATAAACTAAAAGAACTATTTTTTTTAACCAACGCCTCTGAAGAATATTCTAAAGACCCAAATTTGGATGATGTGTCTAAAATTTACTTATGATAGAAATTACTGTGATATTAAAGGTAAATAATTATGGAGAACTTCATCAGCTAATTTTCTATTGTTAATTATGAGGTATTTGAAATTATTAAAAAAAAGGATACAGTCAACACTCAATATAACGAACCCTAGGTTTTTACCTTAAAATTATAACGAAGAATTTAAGGAAATCAATTGGCTGCTTCGCTATAACGAGAGAAATCTGGCAAATTTTGTTGGTTAAGTATCACGTGTTGTAAAAATTCGACATAAAGCGACTTCGTTATATTGAGAATTGACTGTAATATAAAATATATACATATATAATGGTAAACGAATAAAATTTTTAATCATCCGAGAGTCATAAGAAAAGAATCAAGAATAGGTTAAGTCGGTAACATATTTTTTTTTTGTCGGTAAATATTTTTATAATAAACAAAAAAGCAAAACAATAGAACATCGCGCTAATTTAATTTTTACAGATAGTCTTCGGAAATCTTTACTATCACTAATTAAGCTAATTGACCTAATTTTTAATAAAAAAGAAATATTATTTTTTATTTGTTCCATTTTAAGAATTTGAAATGGATGCGGCGCTTTGTCTTTACTTTTTTTTCTAAAATTTCCATTGCGTAAAATTAATCATTTAATTTAGATGATACCTTTACTAATCAAAGAGACATCCTCTCTTTAAACAAAAATTTGAAAAATGAAAAAGGAAAATGGCATAGTGTGGATTTTAGAACCGGATTAAGGCATCTATATTTCAAGGACGAATTACATGTTTTATTAGGAAAAAAAAAAAGAATCATTTTAATAAAATTTATGATAATGAAACAAACAATAAAAGCAAGATATTATTTCTTTAATAAATTTTTCTTTTGGGATGGGGGAACCAAAAATAAAAGAAACAAAAGAAAGGAAATATTTTATGGAAATGGGGACAAGATCATCTTTGCATCTTGGACTGAACCATTAAAAATTCATAAAAGTTCTACACGTTCCTTGATGATGGGCAAGAGTAATGATCCCTCAAAATTCTAACAAAAAAAAAGACGAAAACTATACAGGTACATAATTAATATGATACAAGAAACGAAATAATGAGAGGTTTCATTCCATTCAAATGAAATCAAGTAACTGATGATGATAAAGATAAAATAATCGATAAGATCATGACAATAAAACAAATGGACATCTTTTCAGTCTATCATAAAAAAAATATATATATATAATAATAAGGTTTGCATAGACGATTTTTTTTTTTCGATTATTAATAGATCAAATGCATAAAATGTAAATAACTTTGGCACAATTTAAGTGTATTTCCAAATATGGATATAAGAGTATGGGGAAGATTAAATTTTCGGATTTTCTCTAAAATTGGATCGATTCAAGTAAATCCTTCACAAATTTAATTCATTTTATATTGTCGATTACATTTTGAAACCGGATTTTAATTAATAAGTATTTATTGAATTCGACGAAACTAATTTAGCTCCAATTATTCTTCACCTCAGAATCTTCATTCAGTGGTTTTAAAAAATATGTAACTTTGCAAATAAACCACCAATTGGTTTCAGCTGATTAATCAAATATTAAATTTTTTTTTCGGCTTCGGATATTAGGAAGTAAATCATCCTATAGAAAAATTCTGCATAAATTCCCAATAAATTTCATTAATTTATTATATTTTTCTTCGCTAAATTTGTGATATAAATAAATTCATCCTTCAAAAAAAAAATCATTTTATAACATTTTATTATTAAAAAAGCTATTATAATCTTCACATTGTCTTTGTATTATCTTTATATTATCTTTATATAGTCTTATTGTTCTTCGTCTCTTTAATTACTTTAAGAAAGAAGGAGAAATAACAAAATATGGAATCGGAAGAATCGGCTAACATGGAATCAAAAGAATCAACCAATAAATCAACCGAATTAAACGAGTCTAACGGATCAGGGAATAACTTTGATTTCCATAATGATCAAAACTATTCAAATACCACCACGTTTTTTTCTAATTCAACCGAAAGTTCATCAAATTCAAATATTTCTTCTAATAACTCAAGATCTAGTAAAACAATGATAACTTTATTAATTTACAATGCAATTATTCAAAATAATGTTAACGCCTTGGATCCATTATTAAGAGAGAATCCAGATTATTTTTTAAATGAACCTATGAATATCAATGACGAATATGAGAAATTCGAAAGTAATGAAAAAACCGAAAAAAGTGAAAATGATATTAATGAAAAAAAAGATAAAAATGAAAAAAGGGAAAATAATGAAAGTAATCAAAAAAATCAAAGGAAGGAAAATAATTCCAAAACACCTTTAATGATTGCTGCTTCATTAGATTGTATCGATGTAGTAAAATATTTAATAAAACTTAATAACGTTGAAATCAATTTACAAGGTAAAAATTCTTATAATAATAATAATAATAATAAATAATTAAATTATATATTGATATATATATATATTGATATAATTATCACATTATTTTTATTGATTAAAGATAACCAAGGAGAAACAGCATTATTTCAAGCATCAGCAGCCGGAAATGCGGAAATTGTTAAAATTCTGTTAAAAAATCAGGAGGTGTCGGTTAATTTATCAAATAAAAATCAAATTAGTCCATTAATTGTTGCGGCATATCATGGACATTCATATGTTTGTAGATTATTATTGGATCGTGGTAAAGCTATTATCAATCAACAAGATGATGAAGAAAAATCGGCACTCTCTTATGCAGCTACTGAAGGACATGGTCAAGTAGTTGAAACTTTATTGGGTAGAGGAGCTGATACTAATCTTGTTGATAAGGTAATATCATTTATTTATTAACTATTATATATATTATTAACTGTTATTAACTATTATTAACTATTATTAACTATTATCTATTAATTATTAATATATTCTATTAAAATATTTTTAGTACAATTGGTCACCGTTAATGTTGGCGGCATATGTCGGTAGAGCTAATATTGTTCGACAATTATTAATGGCTGGAGCGGATAGTTCAATTAAAACTGTTAGTGGCAAAACTGCTGCTAATTTAGCTCGTGATGGTGGCTTCACACATGTCGCTGATATGATTGATAATTTCATAATTCCCAACAACAACAACAACAACATCAACATCAACAACAATAACAACAAGAAAAGCCATAATCATAAATCAAGTATTATTTCACCTTCAATTATAGAAAAATCGATTGGATTAAAAAATTCCAGAAATTCACGATATTCACGTGAATTAACATCAAGATATCGTTCTAATGATTGGGGTGTAAATAATTGGAGAGCTAGTTCTATGCGTGATAGTAGGAGAGTTAGTACTAGTTCAAGATTAAAAATGGAAATGGTCCCACGTGAAGAGAATGATCTTTGGGTTTATATTTCGTGGATTGTGACTGCACCATTTTTAGATAAGTTATTAAAAAGATTTGGAGGAATGGAAGAAAAAAGAGTTAGACAAGCTTGGAGAGAAAAATTTACTTTATGTATAATTTTAATTTTAGTTGCGGTATCTATAGCATTATTTACCCTCGAACTTTCAAATTTAGCATGTAAGGATTTCACACCTATTCCAGAATCAAAACTTGAAGATGTAAAAGGAAAAGTTATGATAGTTAGAGGAAAAATTTATAATGTAGAAGATTATTTTAATTTAGGATTACATAAACCAATTTTCTCGAACACTTCACCTGATGAATTAAATCCAATAATTAAATCTTTGCTGGGTAAAGATGTTTCAAATTTCTTTCCGTTAGATAATTCAGAAATTGGATGTAATTTTATACCTTTAAATCAAACCGATGAAATATTATGTCCTCAATTATTACAAAATAATTCACTTTATCATTGTCACGCTTCAAGAAATTCTTTACTTACATTAGAATCATTATCTACCAATAAATTTGTGGGAATATCTTGGAACGAAATTTTTAACAACAACAAAAACAACAATAGTAATAACAACAACAATAATAATAATAAACGAAAATTATTAGTATTTAATAATAACGTTTATGATTTTACGACATATTTAGATTCATCGAATACGGATTATTGGATAGGAGGAGATGATGGAATAAAAATAAAATTTTGGATAGAATCATTAATAGGAACTGATGCAACTAAAGAAATTAGTCGATCACATAAATATGATAACGTGACAAGTTGCTTTGAACATTTTAGGGTTGGACAAGTGGACGGTATTCAATATGGATGTTTTAGTGTAAATTCATTACTTAGTTTTGTTACAGTAGTTTCATTTTTAATTGGAATAATGAAATTATTATCAACAATCGTATACCTTTATTTTATGACGAAACAATTAACCAAAGATAACGACGACAACAAGATCAACAACAATAGTAATAATACGATGAATATAAATAATAATAATAATAATAATAATAATGATAATATTAAACATATTTTACTTTTAATTCCTTGTTATAGTGAAGGAGAAGAAAGTTTAAAAAGAAGTTTCGATTCATTGGCTGGTACCGATTATTCAGATCAACATAAAATATTCTTTATTGTGGCTGATGGTGACGTTACGGGAAGTGGGGAATCAAAATCCACCCCTGAAATTCTTAAAGATCTTATAGTACCATTTGATATTAATGGAAGTGATGAGAGTGAAATGGGTGAATTGGTTGAAGTACAAGATGATGGAGTACGAGATGGCGAAGTACAGAATAATAATAGAGTACAAAATACTGGGGTACATGAAAGTGGAACACATAAAAAGTGGAAAGAACCAAAACCTGCTAGTTATTTATCTATTGGATCCGGAACCAAACGTCATAATATGGCTAAAGTATATACTGGTTATTATATATACGAAGATCATCAAATACCAACAATTTTAATAATTAAGTGTGGTACCCCTTCAGAAATTAAATCTTCAGCCAAACCTGGTAATCGTGGAAAACGTGATTCTCAATTAATTTTAATGAATTTATTAAGTAAAGCATTTCTTAATGAATCAATGAATGAATTAGAATTTGAATTATTTGAAAAAGTTCGATTAATGACTGGAGTTACAATAGATAAATATGAATTTGTTTGTATGGTTGATGCGGATACAATTATAACTAGTAATAGTATTAATGAATTAGTTAAATGTATGAAGAATGATTCTACAATTATTGGTCTTTGTGGTGAAACTCAAATTTTAAATAAGACGGAAAATTGGGTTACAATGATTCAAATATTTGAATATTTCCTTTCTCATAATTTTGGTAAAACTTTTGAATCAATATTTGCTGGAGTTACTTGTTTACCTGGTTGCTTTTGCATGTACAGAATTTATTATCATAATCATGAAGAAAATTTAAAAATACCAATTTTAATTGATGAAAATATTATGAATAATTATACAACAAATGATGTTGATACTTTACATCAAAAGAATTTATTATTATTAGGAGAAGATCGTTATCTTACAAACATAATGCTTAGAGCATTCCCCAAACGTAAAATTCTTTATTGTCCTTCAGCTATTTGTAAAACGACTGTACCAAATTCATTCTCTGTACTCCTTTCTCAACGTCGTAGATGGATTAATGGAACTATGCATAATCAATTAGAATTATTAAGATCATTTGAATTACCTGGAAGATTTTGTTGTTCGATGCAATTTGTTGTATTTATGGATTTAATAGGTTCCGCGACTACTCCATTATCTTTTCTTTTAATATTTATCTTAATTATTAATTTCATTCAAGGACATTCTGTTGGATTACAATTACTTTATGTATCAGCTACTTATTTAATTCAATTTTTATCCGTTGTATTAATATCATTTAACCCCATACAACTTTTGTGGGCTTTCGTGTTTGTATTAGCATTACCAATTTGGTATTTTATACTTCCACTTTACTCATATTGGCATTTTGATGGTACGTATTATTATATTATTCATATTATTTATATTATTTATATTATTTATATCATTTATATTATCTATAAAATCATTATTATTAATTTATTATTAATTTATTATTAATTTATAATTAATTTCTTTTTAGATTTTTCTTGGGGTACTACCCGAAAACTTGCAGGAAATGTCGGTAGTGGTCACGATGATGATCATGATACAATATTTGACAGATTTGATCCATCCAAAATAAAATCCAAAAAATGGGATGATTGGATTATTTATAGAAAACGTCGTAATTTACCAATGTTTGCTCCTTTACCAAAAAATTTCATTTATAATGCTATTCCTGCTCCTCAAAACATTATTAAAGAATAGTTAAAAAAAAATATATTTTTATAAAGAATAATTTGATTGATGAATTTAAAAAAATATTGAAATTGTTATATAGCCAAATATGGTTAATGCATTGTGTGATCGATATTAAGTATGACAATATAACGAATATAACGAATAAAGTAAATATAGCAATATATAGAAAAATAGATTGTAGATTAAAAAAATTTTATTCTTTTTGGAATTTTCTGAAATAAATAAATAAACCTGTATAATTTTTAATTCATTTTAGTCATTTTTATGTACGTTACCTTTTGAACTACAATAACAAATAATTAAAAATATAACGTTATCCAACCAGAATTAACACGAGGTAATTAGCCGTTTGTTGGTTGGTATCATCGAATTTTTAATTGAATTTTGAATTTTTAATTGAACAATAATTATTTTGAAAGAAAGAATTAACTTTGTAAACGCCAAAAAAATATTATCATCATATTTGTTATATTAATTTAGATTAATTTATTAATTATGAATGAATTTTTCGAACTATTAAATATATGCGCCATCGGATCGAATTTCTTTTTTTTTTTTTCTTCACCTCCCAACCGCGCAACATATAATTTTAATTATCATTTAATTAATTTTCATATAATCATCTTCTCATAATGACGGGAAAGAATGAAAAAGTTGAAGCTGAATTAACAATTGATAATAATGAGGTAGTGAAAGCAGTGAACGAAAAACCGAAGGGTCGTCTCTTCAATGCTGCTGAAATGAAGAATATAGCTTTCTATATTGGTGGTATAATGTGTTTCAAATTTGCCTACGAAACCTTGAGGTTAGTAATGTGCACTAATTTTTCTGTTGTATATGCTTTATTAATGTGATATTAGTGACCTAAAATAACGTTCTAATTTATAATTTCTCTTAGTAATTCCATCTCTCTTATTGCTCAAGAACGTTTTCCAAAAGGTGCTCTCACTTTGGCTTCAACTTTAACCTCAACTTGTAAATACAAAATATTTTTATTGGATTCTCCCTTTTTTTAAAAAATCTACTGAAATTAAAACATTAAATTCACCATTATAATTGTTATTTTTCAGTCAATGTTATGCAAATTCTTTTTTCTATCGCCGGTGCTCAACTTTTGATACATTATAACACAAATAAAATATTAGCCTTCAGTATGTTCTGTTTCGGTGCATTAGCTCTTGTTCTCATCATTCTTGAAGCTGCCACCGGTGGTTATATAGGTGCCGCAGATAAATGGGTCCCTGGTACTTGGGCACCTGAATTACTCTTTGCACTTTATCTTCCCATGGGTGGTTGTCTGGGTGTCGTGGAGCTTGTCCGTCGTGTCATACCACGTGATATCGTAGGTGAAGATCCTATAAAATTAATGAAAATGGATGCTAGCGTTCATATCTTTTACGAAATTGCTGGAACTGCTGGTGCTTTCTCTTCGACTGCTACGATCAAAAAATTGGGTCCCGTCTACGCTTTATTCGTCATTCCTGTCTTCTTCACTGCCGCTGGTATTACTTGGTTATTTATTAAGATTACAACTAATTATGATAAATTGAAATTAGAAGATATCGATGGTATTAAAGTTTCCCGTACAGGAGGAATAAGAAAAGTTTTCACCACTTATTTCTATTCCATAAAACGCGGCTTTATAATCATTACTTCTGAACGACGTTTTATTTGGTTGATACCCGGTTATGTATTACCACTTATGTTTCATAGATATATTGAAGGTTACTTATTTCCAACTTTTTCCAAACAAGTTCTTAAAGAGGGTCACCTTTCAGGTTTTCTTTTGGCAGCATCTAACTTTGGTGAGCTCTGTGGTGCACTTTTAGTCTTGGTCATAGGTTCAAGAATTTATAGTCCATTACCTTGGGTTCGTCTTGATTCTATGACATTAATGGTACTTTGGGTGTTTCCTTATTTAAGAGTTACGAGTTCACTTGGTTCAATTAAATGGGTAGGAGCGGTATTTCCTTTAATGATGGTTCTATCCGCAGGTTGGGCAGCCGGTGATGTTTCTTTAGTAGCTTATGTTCAATCTAGATTACATTCTGTAAATGCTGCAAATGAAGAAGGTACTTCTCCGTTAGGATGCGTTATGGCATTACTTTACTCTTCATACGTTTTAGGATATCTGGCTTTATCAATTCCCATGGGAAAACTTTTTGATAAATATAAGGCCGATGGCAATATTATTAGAGCATTTTTTTGGGGTTCGGGTATACTGATAGTTATTGGAGCAGTTATAATTTTTTCATCTACCTTTATACCAAAAGGGGCATTTGCTTTAAATCCCAAAGTTGATGGAGGTGATAAGGTTGTATCAAATGAAGAAGTAGTTGAAGAAAAAATTTCGAATAATACTAATAATGCAATAGCTTGATTATGTATTATTATTATAATTAATATTACTATACTACCATTCCGTTATTATTATCATTAATTATGTATTTTTAGCATATTTGTAGTAGTTTGATTATGTATAATATTTTTTATGTTTATATAATCTTTATATATTTATAAAGTATCATTTTTAGATCTGATAATTTTTTTTTAAAAAAAATAAAACGTATATTATTATCAAATTTTCAAATTTCTTCGTGTAGTGAGTAATATAAATGATAACTGTACAGTATTTATCAATAATCGTGCAGAATGATATTAATTATTATTATTATTATTACGGTTCATTTTATATTTTTTGTAGGAATGCATAACTGACAACTTAAAAATTACATGAAATTCAATTAAAAATCAAATTATTCAGAATAGTAATATCGAAATATCAGTCTAAGAGTAGCAGCATTAAAAATGGATCAAAGAGCAATCGCCGATGAAGTAGAACATCGGAACGGTCAATCGAGCATCAATCGAGCATCGATCAATGAGTAGGAAAGGAGAAACAGATTATTGTCTGTAAGTAAATCGCAGAGACATATATTTAGTAGTATCAGTAAGTGTGTCATCGATTCTTAGTCTTTTGTACTTTTTCACCCTTTATATATTATTACCCATGGAAAATTTGTGTTTACCGATTATTCTCTTATAATAAAAAACGTACAAATGAGCTTTTTTGACTGTACTATAGTGCGAGAAGTCTATAACCAAAAAATTTTAACCTCAAAATAAGATCAAATTTAAAAGGTTAAGACTTACGACACATATCTAAAATAGAAATTTTAATCGATAATTATGATATTGTTTGCACTTCGGTTTTTATTTTATAATATTTTATTTTTGACCGCATTCATATGAAAGTGAGTTTTAAATCTATTTTAATCTTATTGGCTAAAAATTACATATAACTTAATTCAAAATTGGGAAAAATAAAAATTAATGTAAGGATAAAAATGTTAAGTTTTACTTGTCAAATCACAACTAATTATTCGATGGACACGTGTTTTATCACTTGACCAAGCATTGAGCCAATGAAATTTGCTTAACGAATTAGGTGCCGTAGATCACAAGATACAATAATAGCTAAATTCATTACGTAAAATTCACTTATATGTAACAGAAAAAAACCCCTAAATATATTATCATATATTTATTTATGTGAATTGTGGGGGGTAATGAATAGTCATACTAACATATGGGGTGTGATTGTTGTTGCGTATGGTGTTATTTCCGCAGAGTCCATATTTTACAGTTTTTTCTAAATATTTAATATCATCTTCATCATCATCTTCTTTTTCTTCCTTTCTTTGACTTGTGATATGATGGGTGAATGTTTTAAGGAATTTAAGGAAACGTGATCCACGGCACTTACGTCGATCAAAAATATTATTTTTTCATCTTCATCTAAGAATCCATTTATTGAATATAGTGCTTCTTTGTTCACCAGATTGTTCTAAAATATGGATTAGAGCTTTTGTATGACAGTCTAAAATAACGATCACGGTAGCTAGAACTGGAGTGACAATAAATACTGGAATAAGTATTTATAAAAGAGGTTTCGTTTTGAGTATACGTTATTGGTTGATTCTTGGTATTTAACGATAATTGACAATTAAAAGTTATAAAAGGAATTGAGCGGCTCAAATCACTTATACTCGAAGCTTTTCTTTGAAAGGTTGCTTTGTGGACAACAACCTGTGTAAATGCAAATTTTTAATTAAATTTCTTTCTTACGTAATTAATCAAAATTTAATTAAAATAAATATTCACAAAAATTCCATCCTGTAGAAATTTATCATTTTGATATGTAAATTTTCCTGTTATATTTACAATATCGCCTTCGAAAAAATCATCTATGTACTTCGTACTTGTTTGTGGAAAATATTTACATGAAAAATTAACGCATTCTGTTAGACTTTTTCGAAACCCGCGGTCCCAAAAATGACCGTATGATTTGGATTTCGTTTACAGCTAACGATATATGCTTCAACCGATAAAGACGTCGCATTTTTTTGATTATAAAATATTATATATATATTTTGATAAAAGGGCAATATAGTATTTAGTAAAGATTATAAAATAAAGTTTTCGGAAAAAAATCTTTTTTTTTTAAAAAAAATGATCTTTTCCGGTTTTTTTTAAAAAACATGAACAACTTTTGATTCATTGTTCATTGACAACCTCGATTTATAAATTTATCAACACATTAGTTGCCTTTTTAAGACTGTGTATGATAATGTGAAAATCTCTTTATAAAATTTAAACTTTATTATTTATACAACAAAAAAATTTAAAGGAACCAATTGGTTTTTTGATAATAAAATAAACTTTTAATTAAAATTAATGAAAAATTTTTACACGAGACGAATCAATTTTTTTTACGTTTAATTCTAACCATCATCTCGCAACATTGATGAAAAAATACATATCGAAGTTTAATTTGTTCAGCTAATTCTATATCATATTTCCGATAGATTAAAGCCATTAGAATTTTCAATTGAGTCATTGCTAAATTTCTTCCCGGGCCTATTATTAAAAATAAAAAATAAAAAATAAAAACAATAATAAATAAAAAATAATAACTGAGACTATGTAGAAATAAATACTTACAAGTTCTGGAACCAACACCAAACATCATTAAAGTATTTTTACTATCCCCGTCGCTTGATAAAAATCTCGAAGGATCAAATTCTTCTGGATTATTCCAATTTTTAGGATCCATATGAATAGCTGGTACATTAATAATGAATTGTTGGTTGGCAGGGAGTTTATAATTATCAATGACAACTGGTTTCAAAGAGACTCGAGTATTTACGGATGTGCGAAAACGACCGACTTTATATAGTAAGAATCGATTTTTAATTAGTAATGATTTAATTTATGGAACTCGAAAAATCTGTATAAATACATATGTACCTTCTGATATAACTGCCTTACAATACTTTAGTTTATTCAAATCTTCAAAGGTAATTTCTGAATCTTCTTTGGTTCCTAATACATTTGTTAATTCTTCTTGAATTTGTTGCAAGACTTTGGGATGATGAGCTACGGTGTAGATCATGTAACACAGGAAGCTTGAACTCTTTTAATTAATTGAATTAATAATAATGAATAATTGTTATGTATTGAATAATTAATGTAATAAATTTATAAATTTAAATACCGCAGAAATTCCACTAGCCATTATTTCAAGCAAATTTTGTCTAATATTAACATCTGACATGGGTTCGCTATGAAACTTATCCGTGATCCCTTTGGTAATATCCTTTTCGGTGTTCATCGTAATAAGTTGTGTTAAAAGATCTTGGTTTTTACGTAATTCATCTATACTAGAATTTTCAATTTGGGATTTTCGCAATTTTATTATATTCATAATATTAGAATCCAACAAATCTTTTCCTCTTAAATAATTATTAGTGATTTTTCTTTTTCCGGGAGCTCGCAACAAACATTTAACAGAGAAAAAGAAATGATGAAGAATAGAAAAATAGTCGTGTAAATTCTTTAAAAATCCTTCTGTAACAATTGGTGATAAAGGATTCTCTGGGATTGTAATTTTTTGTTTAGGATTTAAGAAATTATAATAATTGATTAAAGCGTACGTTCGGAAATTGGTGAATAATTTTAGCATACATTCAAAACCCAATCTTTCCATCCATAAAAAAATATCAATTTCTTTATCTCCTTCAAGGCATCCGTAATCTTTCCAAAGTGATTCCAATTCTTTGAATAACGATTGAGTTATAGGGATAATACTTTTATTAAATTGTGGAGTCAAAATAGTTTTAGCATAAATTTTTCGATGATACATTACATCATCAAGATTTCTATTAGCAAGAATTCCTTTATCAGAAACACCTAATTCATCTAAATTAAAATTTTCAGCTAAACGATTATTTGATAACATAATTTCGTCTACCATGTCAGCCCGATTCAACCAAATGGTACGAGTTGATCCTAAATAAATCTCATAAATATCACCGTATTTTTTACGTAATTCTTGAGCTAATTTTCCTGCATCACCAGAATAAGCAAGCAAATTACCAACGATTGGTAAAGGAAGAGGACCAGGTAATGGATTTGAACGAGTAAAATAAGAAATGTAAAAATAAATGATATAAGAAATGATTAATGCACCAATGACCAAGAATATATCTTGGAGATTATTAATTAAAAAATAAAGATCATTCGAAACCATTATTATTATTTAAAGATTTGCTACGAATGAAAGTGTCAAGTGTAAAATTTAAATTTCCCAACTGTATAACTTTTAAATTTTACTGTTTACAACTCAATGATTTTCGTGGGAAAATAACTGTCATTTTTAAGGATAAATTTAGTTTAGATAAATATACAGATAATCTTTTCTCTTTTTTCATATGAACTCCAATAAATATATACAAGTATACTAAATATAGATATGTTTTTTTTCTATATTTCGCCTTTGTTTAAACATTGATTAACAAATGAATATTTAGATTAATTTATGCAGTAATTCTATATCATATTTTCGATAGATTAGAGCCACTAGAATTTTCATTGAGTAATTGTTACTTCCCGGGCTTATCCCTTAATCCGTCAAGCGGGCAAATTTTACTGCTAAAACATAGTAGCATGTGAAAAACTGACGGTTCAAGAGATAATATAAAGTACTACAAGTTCTGGGATCATTAATGTATTTTTACTATCCCCAGTCGTTTGATAAAAAATCTCGAAGGATTAAATTCTTCTTTATTATTCCAATTTTTTTAGGATCCAAATGAATAGCTGTTGCATTAATAATGAATTGTTGGTTGACCGGTAATTTATAATTATCAATGACAATTGGTTTCAAAGAAACTCGAATATTCACGGGTAACAATGTGTGCAAACGACCGACTTATATAGTAAGAATTGATTTTAAATAGATGATTTAATTTATGGAAACTCGAAGAATCTGTATAAATATGTACATTCAACTGCCCTACAATACTTTAATTTATTCAAATCTTCAAAGAAATTTCTGAATCTTCTTTGGTTCCTATTACACATGCTAATTCACTTGAATTTGTTGCAAGACTTCGAGATGACGAGCCACAATGTAGATCATGTGACATAGGAAGCTTGAAATCTTTTAATTAATAATGAATAAGTAATAAGTGTATTGAATAATTAATTTTCTGTTAAATGTATCTTGCGAGCTCCCGAAGAAAGAAAAATCACTAATTATTTTTTAAGAGAAAAAAATTCTAATATAATAAAGTTGCGAAAATTCCAATTGAAAATTCATACAGGAAGAGGACCAGGTAATGGATTTGAACGAGTAAAATATGAAGTGTAAAATAAATTATATAGGAAGTGATAAATGCACCAATGACCAAGAATATATCTTGAAGATTATTAATTAAAAAACAAAAGATTATTCGAAACCATTATTATTAAGATTTACTAAGAATGAAAATTTACATAATACTAACTTTTAATTTTACTGTTTACGGCATTCATTAATACAATGGTTCGTGGGAAATAACTCATTTTTTTAAAGATTAAATTTATTTTCACTTTTTCATACGAAAAATAATGTGAGATGATTCCAAATATACTAAATATAATGCTAAAATTTTTTTTTAAAATTCTTTTTCTATATTTCGCCTTTGTTTAATTTTAACCTTCATCTCATAACATTGATTAATAAATGAATATTTAGATTTAATTTGTGCAGTAGGATCAACTAATTCTATATCATATTTTCGATAAATTAAAGCCATTAGAATCTTCAATTGAGTCATTCCTAAATTTCTTCCCGGGCCTATTAAAATAATAAATAATTGAGAATATATAGATATAAAGTATTATAAAGTACTATAAATAAAAAATATTAATTGAGACTATGTAGATATAAAGTACTTACAAGTTCTGGGACCACCACCAAACATCATTAAAGTATTTTTACTATCCCCGTCGCTTGATAAAAATCTCGAAGGATCAAATTCTTCTGGATTATTCCAATTTTTAGGATCCAAATGAATAGCTGCTGCATTAATGATGAATTGTTGGTTGGCAGGGAATTTATAATTATCAATAACAACTGATTTTAAAGAGACTCGACCATTTATGGGTATGAATGTGTGTAAACGACCGACTTATTATATATAGTAAGAATTAATTTTAATTAGTAATGATTTAATTTATGGAAACTCAAAGAATCTGTATAAATATGTACCTTCTGTTATAACTGCTTTACAATACTTTAGTTTATTCAAATCTTCAAAGGTAATTTCTGAATCTTCTTTGGTTCCTATTACATTTGTTAATTCTTCTCGAATTTGTTGCAAGACTTCGGGATGATGAGCTATAGAGTAGATTATGTAACATAGGTGGCTTGAACTCTTTTAATTAATTAATAATGAATAAGTGTTATGTATAGAATAATTAATGTAATAAATTTATAAATTTATAAATTTGTAAATACCACGATAGTTCCACTAGCCATTATTTCAAGAAAAATTTGTCTGATATTAACATCTGACATTGGTTTGCTATGAAAATCATCCATGATCCCTTCGGTAATATCCTTTTCGGTGTTCATCGTAATAAGTTGTGTTAAAAGATCTTGGCTTTTACGTAATTCATCTATACTATAATTTTCAATTTGGGATTTTCGCAATTTTATTAAATTCATAATATTAGAATCTAACCAATCTTTTCCTCTTAAATAATTATTAGTGATTTTTCTTTTTCCGGGAGCTCGCAACAAACATTTAACAGAGAAAAAGAAATGATGAATAATAAAAAAAAAGTTGGGTAAATTCTTTATAAATCCTTCTGTAACAATTGGTGATAAGGGATTCTCTGGGACTATAACTTTTTGTTTAGGGTTTAAGAAATTATAGTAATTGATTAAAGCGTACGCTCGGAAATTGGTGAATAATTTCAGCATACATTCAAAACCCAATCTTTCCATCCATAATAAGATATCAATTTCTTTATCTCCTTCAAGGCATCCATAATTTTTCCAAAGTGATTCCAATTCTTTGAATAACGATTGAGTTATGGGGGTAATATTTTTACCAAATTGCGAAGTCAAAATAGTTTTATCGAAAATCTTTCGATGATACATTACATCATCAAGATTTCTATTAAGAAGAACTCCTTTATCAGAAACACCTATTTCATCTAAATTAAAATTTTCAGCTAAACGATTATTTGATAACATAATTTCGTCTACCATGTCAGCCCGATTCAACCAAATGGTACGAGTTGATCCTAAATAAATCTCATAAATATCACCGTATTTTTTACGTAATTCTTGAGCTAATTTTCCTGCATCACCAGAATAAGCAAGCAAATTACCAACGATTGGTAAAGGAAGAGGACCAGGTAATGGATTTGAACGAGTAAAATAAGAAATGTAAAAATAAATGATATAAGAAATGATAAATATACAAATGACCAAGAATATATCTTGAGGATTATTAATTAAAAAATAAAGATTATTCGAAACCATCATTTTAGATTTACTAAGAATGAAAGTGTCAAGTGTAAAATTTAAATTTCCAACCATTTTATATATAATAATGGCACATTTAATTGGAGCAACTTTAAAGTTATACCCGATTTTCGTGAGAAATAATTGTCATTTTTTTAATCAAATTTAGTTTAGATACAATTTGGTTTCACTTTTTTTCATATGAGGGGCTTATTTTTTATTGAGTAAATGATTCCAAAGTACATACTGTATATCATATTTTTTCGATAGATTAAAGCCTATTAAAAAAATAAATAAAAATAATATAATAAATATATAATTCTTCTGGATTATTTCAATTTTTAGGATCCAAATGAATAGTTGGTACATTAATAATGAATTTTTAGTTGGCAAGGAATTTATAATTATCAATAACAACTGATTTTAAAGAGACTCGAAATTATGGGTACGATGCGTTTAAACGACCGACTTATTATATAGTAAAGAATCTACGTAAATATGTATAACTACTATTAAGACTTATATCACGTGACACAGGACGCTAGAACTCTTTTAATTATAACAATAAATAATGATTTAAATATGTAATACTCTTTTCAGTGTTCAATCTTAAATCTTTTCAATTTGGGATTTTCGCAACTTTATTAAATTCATATAAAAATATTAGAATCTAACGAATCTTTTTCTCTTTAAAAATAATTAGTCAATTTTTCTTTTCGAAACCATTATTATTATTTAAGATTTGCTAAGAATGAAAGTATCAAGTGTAAAATTTAAATTTCTACCGTAATAATTTCACTGTTTACGCCACAATGATTTCGTGGGAAATGACTGTCATTTTTAAAGATAAATTTAGTTTAGATTAATATACAGATAATCTGGTTTCACTTTTTCACATATGTTTATTTTTATTAAATGACTCCAATAAATATATACAAGTATACTAAATATAGATATAATGCTAAAATTTTTTAAAAATTCTTTTTATATATTTCGCCTTTGTTTAATTTTAATCTTCATCTCGGTACATTGTCTAATAAGGCAATATCTATATTTAATTGATGCGGTAGGATCAACCAATTCTATATCATATTTTCGATAGATTAAAGCCATCAAAGTTTTCATTTGAATCAGCGCAAAATGTTTACCTGGACCTATATTTAAAGAATAAATAATAAAAGTTAAGGTGAATATTTTTTTTTAAATAAATAAATATATATATATATAAAGATGTAAATGTAGATATAAAGTACTTACAAGTTCTAAGACCACCACCGAATATCAATAAAGCATTTTTATTTCTTTTACTAGTATCATCACTTGATAAAAATCGTGAAGGATTAAATACTTCTGGATTGTCCCAATCCTTGGGATTTAATTGAATATCTTGTTGATTAATGAAAAACTGCTGATTGGCAGGAAATTTATGATTATCAATAGTATCGGGTTTCGAAGAGATTCGAAGATTTACGGGTAAAATTGGCCATAAACGACCGACTTTTATGAAAAGAAACAGGTCAAATTAGTAATCTTTAATAAATTATATGTCATTATTAAAGTTAAATATTTTAGCATAATAGATAAGGACAATTATGAATCCGGAAAATTTTTATTTAATAAATACCTTCGTTTATTACTGCTTCACAATACTTGAGTTTATTCAAATCTTCAAAGGTGATTTCTGAATCTGTATTGGTTCCCAATACATTTTCTAATTCTTGATGAATTTGTTGTAAGACTTTGGGATGATGAGCTACAAAGTAGATTATAAAACTTAAAGTGCTTGAAGTCTTGAATATAAAATTGATAATGAAATGAGTGTTACGAGTACCGAAATAATTAATGTAATAAATTTGTAAATTTATAAATTTGTAAATTTGTAAATACCGTGACGGTTCCACCACCCAATATTTCAACTAAATTTTGTCTAATATTACCATCTGACATTGGTTCGTTATGGAAATCATCCGTGATCCCTTTGATAATATCCTTTTCGGTGTTCAACGTGATAAATTGTGTTAAAAGATCTTGGTTTGCACGTAATTCATCTATACTAGAATTTTCAATTTGGGATTTACGTAATTTTATAATATTCAGAACATTTGAATATAACCAATCGATTTCTCTTAATAAATAATTATTAGTTCTTATTTCAAGAGTTCGCCTCAAATACTTGGGAATTAAAAGGAAAAAGCACCAACTATCAAAATTAGATTTTATACAATTTATAAATCTTTCAGTGTCAATTGAAGATAAAGAATCCTCAGGGATTTTCGTAACTTTTTGTTTAGGATTTAATGAGTTATAATAATTAATTAAAGCGGGTGCATGGAAATGGGTAACTAATTTTAATGTAGATTCAAAACCAAATTGTTGCATCCATGAAGAAAAATCAATTTCTCTATTTTCTTCAAAACATTTATAATCTTTCCAAAGTGATTCCAATTGTTTGAATAGAGATTGAGTTACGGGTAAAATATTTTTACCAAATTGTGGAGTCATGATAGTTTTATCATAAATTTTTCGATGATAATTCAAGTCTTTTCCAATATTATTGAAAAAAACACCTTTGCCAGTTATGTCTAATTCATCTAAACCATCATTTTCACCAGTACGATAATGAAAATGATTAGTATGAGAAGACGACATGATTTTTTCTACCAAATCCGAACGATTTAACCAAACGGTTCGAGCTGTTCCTAAATAAACTTCATAAATATCGCCGTATTTCTTATGTAATTCTTGAGCCCATTTTCCAGCGTCACCGGGATAAGCAAGCAAATTTCCAACAATTGGTAAAGGAAGAGGACCAGGTAATGGATTTGAACGAGTAAAATAAGAAATGTAAAAATAAATGATATAAGAAATTATAAGTGCACCAATGGACAAGAATATATCTTGAAGGTTATTAACTAAAAAATCAAGAATTGTCGCAATCATATTTAATATTATTTTTTTTTAGGAATGAAAATTTCTGATGATCTGATCTGAATGACATCTTTTATATATTTTTTGACGATAATTTATTAAATCATAATTTGGAAAGTATTGTTTGTTACAATTTGATGTAATGAAAATCTAAAATGATATGATATGTTTAAATTTTGATTATCCATATTATCTATCTTATTGTAATTATTGTAAAAAAGAAATTTATCCAGTTTTTTAAGTAATTGCATGATATTCTGATGTGATTCATGCATCTTTGCTTTGTCTGCTGACAATTTTGACAATTTTGACAAAGATTATGATAAACATGCAACCTAGAAAATCATGCAATTAATTGATAACCTTGATTAATAAAGTCATTTGTATAATGAAGTGTTAAATTTTCTTTATTTTTAGGTTTTAGATGATTTGTTATTTTTTATTTTACCTTATTTATTTTAACTAAATTTATTTTTGAATTTCAATATATTTCATTGGATACGCATATGTGTATGGTTGAAAATTGTAAAATATTAAATAAGTTACGTACATCAAATGCTATTATTGGGTAACAATTCATTATTGTTTATAAGTCATAAGATATTCATTATTTTTATTATTTTGCGTTCTAACTAAATTTGCAAGATAAATAGATAAACGTCACTACTGAGATCCTTTTTTGTTTGGATATTGATTTTTATCAAATATAAATCTAAATCTAAAAATACTTTAATAATTCATAATTAGCGTTCTTATAGATTTTCATAATATTTTGCCTTCGATGTAAAAAATTTTTCTAATTTGTTTTCGTTAAAAATAGTATAATAAATAAACGAAAAATGTGTTCATAACCAAGAAGCTTTAGTATCAATGAGAAAAGTTTTTAATTTGTTGATTAATTCTTTAAGTTTAAATTCATTAACAGCTAACATTCAATCAAAAATAATTCTAGTTTCAAACACTCCAAATTAACAATTCCTTCTTATCAAATTTCGTATGACTTTCATTTGACTGAATATTTTCCAGTTCTCTAAGATGTGTCGTAAAAAGATTTTTCCTTATTTTCAACTTAAATGAGTACATTATAATCATCTTTCTCATTAAGTTCAATAAAATTAGTCAAAAAATTTGGTTTTTTTTTTTTTGTAAATTTGAAAACAAAATTCAATCGTAGTATTTGTTGATGAAATTTATTTCTAAAAGGTTTTTTAGCTTGCATTTATTTTCTTCTTTATAAAATATAAAGATTAAGCAAATTTAACGAGATTCTTTTTATAATAACTGTAATAACTGAATTATTAAACATTAATTAGTAATTAATTAATTAATTAATAATTAATTAAATTGAATAAAATTAAATATTTTAAAAATAAATTACCTGATTTTAATGTTACATGATTGTACAACAACGCCCTGGGGGGGGCATCCTCTGATTCTTTCTTCGAGGCATTCACTGATTCCTTCTTCGAAGTAAAGGAATAGATAAATGAAAATAAATTTCTCTTTTTTCTCAATGGTTCTTTTTCGTTATCAGGTTGTATATTTTCATCTTCTTCATCTGGCTTCCTTCTTTTTCTATCTGTAGCCATATTAGCTGGCACAGTGACTGTTTTTTTTTCATTTGTTTTTGAGAACGTTATCGTCGCTGAAAATTTTTCGGGAGGATTATCATATTTGGAATTTGTAGTGTAAACCATAGTATAAGCTGTAGGCGGTTTAGCTTCGTTTGGTATTACTTTTGATGCTTTGGATTTTGGCATAATGTCTACATGTCCTATACTATGAGCTTCATTATTGCAGAATAATGTTATTTCCCATTGGTGACCTCCATCATTTAAAGGAGAATGAGTTGATTTTAGATACATTTTTTTTTTAAAAAAAAAATGTAAAATATTATTCTACTTTTATCGATAAATGAGAAATAGATATAATGTAATAATTTTTATAACAATGAATTGATGAATGAATTGTTTTTGATATTTTTGATATTTTTATAATTATACGCTTTGATATTTTCGAATATATACGCAGTAACTATTTAATAGAGAAAGAAGAATTTTTGGAAGAATGTTGCTTTGGGAATCTTTTTATACCATGTATATTGTGTATATGCGTAATATTGGTACATTTGAACACATATGGAATCGCAAACAAAAAATAATAAAATGAATGGTAATCAATTTAAAAATTCTTATTTGAAACGAAAATGAAATGTAATAAATACTATTATATCCTTTGTCAATTCAAACGTCATATGTATAACCCATTTCTATATAATTTCCTTTGTCAAACAGTCCCATAGTTTGTAAATAAAGATATTAGTTTAAAAATATAATTTTTTGTTTATTTGTTACATCTTTATTCTCACGTGATGTAAAGAAATTTGTGGTATTAGAATCAGAACAATAAATTCTTTATGTCTTATCTCCAAACAGTCATCATACAATATTTTAAATACCTTAATTTTTCAAAACGTTCACTATTGTAACTATTGTATGTACGATAAATCATGTATCAAAAAAAATACTTACAAATTTGGATGATTTTCAGTTGTTCCCTATAAAATTTCTTATTGAGTTATACATTATATTTGGTTATTTTTTCCTCAATAGTTAATTATGGTCTCTGTTTCACCCTGTAAAAGGATTATTCATAGTACTCTTAATATTTTCTACATTGAAAATACTTTCCTTATTTGACCAATACAAACAGCGGGTGGTTGTTATCCGCTGCATTATTCTTTTTTTTAGGTGCCTTTGTTGAACAGACTTTCAAAAATAATAATATAATAAAGAAGACCTTATTTGGTGCTACACAAATATTGTCCTTCTTCGCCTGAAAGTTCCCTTTTAAGCGATTCGTAAATCCATCCCGACAGGCCATTTTTGTATTGTATATTTATATATATACAGTACCTCAGTGCCTGTATCTTAACAAGGAGGGGAGGTAAGAGATTCCTCTGCGGATTTGTGTTGTTTAAATAAACGAGGTGAGAATCTGTGTTATTGGGCTTTGAGGACACCTTGTGATATATTTGTATCGCTATGGAGATGAATGCCATTTTACTTAATAAAAAACCTTTAATGGCCTTATAGTTATTATCGTTTATAAACTTTTTTTTTTTGATTAAGTTTTATCGTATTACAGATTACAACGAAAATTGAATTTTTATATTATGAGGATTGTACGTTTCGTGAAGTTAGATATTATTGTTTATAAACTTTTTTTTTTTTTTTGATTATGTTTTATCGTAATACGGATTACCACGAAACTTGTATATTTCGTGACGTTAGAACATAAGGATTGAAATTTTGTTTAATAAATATTGTATAGACTCAACATTAATGTTTCATAAGTTAAATAAGAATAAGTTGAACGAATATCGAATAAATAACATTAATTTAAGCATAACAGATAAAGATAATAAACGGTACAAAATGTACATTTTATTTGATTCGGTATTTGCATATTGTGGCTCGGAATGGCTAAGAGTAAAATGAATGCAGTTTGATCAATAAAAAGTGGGGCGTGGCAAATCTATGTACGAAATCGCCAACTATCCTAATATAGTCATAATTAAATTATATTGATGCGATGCGCAAAGGAGTCATGTTCACATATAATAAAAATCGTTTAAATATTATAGATATATTTTTCTTATAAAATAAAAAATTCTTCTATTGATTATTTTAAATACTTCATAATTAAAAATAGAAAATTGATTTGATGATTCTGCTCATCACAAAATTTTACAGGTAATTTATATTATCTAAATTTGAGATAACTTGTCAAAAAATTTTGAAGACATTTTTATTAATGCAAATTATTGTGAGTCGAGAATGGGTAAGTGTCTCAGCACGTTTCGATAGTATTTGAAAGAGGAAAAATGACGCAATAACTTGATAAGCACATGAAAATATGCACAGTAATAATAATAATAATAATGACTAAAAAAGAAAACAAAGAATGGTTTATATTCAAGATCCGTCTTTATAAATAAAGCGAGTTCAAGATAAATATATATAAAGTTCTTAGATAATTTAGAAAAGACGTGAAACATATATTTGTTGTTCTCTTAGTTTCTAAGTGCCATATTATCATAGGCGTAATATTTTAATGTAATTCCGCAAAATAATAAATACACAATACCCATATTTACGAAGAAGAATCAATTAATAATAATTGATAAAATAATAATTAGTTAATCGTAATAAATGATTAAAATAATAAATAAATAATAATGAATTAATCATAATAAATAATATATGCCAGACATTTGATATAAGCAATTAAGGCGGTGCGCTCATAATTAAAGAAAGTTGGACAAGAAATAAAGAATACCTGAATGATCTTAAGATTGAACGCGATATTATTTTAATGTTCTTGAATTTACTAAATAAATTAAATTTAAATAAAATTAAATAATAATATATATATATATATATATAAAATAATAAAAAATAATATAAGAAAATAATAAATAATAGTAATAAATAATAAAAAATATAATAAAAATAATAAAAAACAATAAAAAATAATAAAAATAAATAATAAAAAATAAAAAATAATAATTTAAGTATTTACTCAAAGTGCAGTTCGATTAGTCGATGATCGAGGATCAACTTTAACACAGTGTTATCTGTGTAAACCTTCTACAATTTACAAAGACAATGAGGTAAAATAATACTAAAACTAATAAACAAAACTAAATAAAACTATAAAAATACTAATCTCAAAATAAAACAATCACAATAAAAGGGTTTATGTGTAGAAGGAATTATATATGATCAATTATGAAAGAGGTGTATTAACTATTAACAGTGGTATGAAGACTTGTTAATAGGGACAAACAGTTTATCAATTATCAAAAGAATACAATAAACAAGGAACTCAAAGGATTTTGTAATATTAATTTTATTACTTAATAAATCCTAACTAATTAACTATTGAACTCTACAAAACTAACTAAAAACTTGGAACTGAAGACTGAGTTGAAGGAATTCTCAGCCTTTATATACATGATAGATTTAACTGTTAAACTAACTTGTAATCTGACTGAAAACTTCACTAGTTATATGTTAATATCCTAACTGGTACCTTAACTATTAATTTAACTTGTACTTTAACTGAAATATTAACTTGCACTATGACTAGTACTCTAATTTGTATTCTAGTGTTTCTAGTGTTACAGATTAATTTAAGTAATAATATTTAATTTGTACTACAGCCTAGTAAATTGATCTACTGTAATACTATATATAATAATAAGAAATAAATAATAGATAATAATAAAATAATAAATATACGATATAAAATATAAATAAATAATAATAAAAAGATAAAGGTAAGTACAATAATTTTTTTGTATTTGACTAGTGCAAATAAATGATAACAATTTACACTATGTGTCTCATTTAAAGATACCTGCCATAATTATTTTCAATGACTAGTTGCAACTATTTTCCGTAATGCCATAATTCTTTTGTAATGCTGTAATGCTGCCGTAATGCCGTAATTCCGTAATTCTGCCTCAATACCTTTTTGTTTTGGCCGTGATTTATGCGACAGGAAACGATTTTCTATTAAGGTATTTCTATGACAAATTGAAAGCCCTAGTTCTTGGCTACAAGATAATATATTCTTTATTCCTGTGGCATCAATATTCGCGAAGATATTTGCGTTTGAATTCAAACGATTGTGAAATTTCCATCATAAATTTTAAAACGTATAAATCATGTGATTTATACATAAGATTACACAAAAAATTTCGACTTCAGACGTGATTTATGCGACAGAGAACGATTTTCTACTAAGATATTTCTAAGATAGAAAGAAAGCCTTGTTCTTGGCTACAAATTGACATGTGTTTCATTCAGATAGAGTTGATATTAGCGTTTAAACTCAAACGTCCGTGAAAATTTCTGCCATAAATTTTCCGTAATTCTGGCCAGAATTATGAAAAATTATGGAAAATTTATGGCAGAAATTTTCACGGACGTTCGAGTTTAAACGCTAATATCTCCGCAAATATCGACGCTACTGAAATAAAACACATGTCATTGTGTAGCTAAGAACAAGGTCTTTCTTTCTATCTTAGAAATATCTTAGTAGAAAACCTCTCTACTCTTTGAAAATCGCGAGCGAATTCAAAAAACGTAAAAAATCCTCCGTTGCTGATGATATAATAATAATTTTAACATACAAAATCGTCGATCGTTACTACATATAAAACTTTTTATATTATAAGTGAATGTCAGAAAATGGTACTATGTAACCTCAAAGACAAACATTGATTGCACCTTCTGTAAAAATATAGACCTGTTTCATCAAAATTAAGTGAATGATTGTCATTTAAAATTTTTTTATCTATTTAAAATTTACACACTTGTAATTTTATTAATTTTAATAAAATAGGTCTGTTCTTTTAATTCAATATGCAATATATTCTTGTCTTTAAGATTACTTAGTACCATTTTTAATATTTACTTATGAATAAAGTTATATATATAGCTTATTGATAATTATTTCTAATTTTATAGAAAATTACATTACAACATAATTATGATCCAATTATGGCATTGCAAATTGTCACAATTAAAATAGACTCTTGTCTTAATATACCAATTCTGCCAAGTATCACTAGTTTCATTTTCAAATGATATTTGAGTGTATTATGACAGATAACAATTCAGTACTATATGTCTTATTCTTGATTGGTATGCAAATTTATCAAACAAAATCAAATCGTAAATACTATTTTGATACTATATGTTCCAAATCTGACTTTCACAGAAGAATTAATTGAAAGCTAAAGCACTATGTGTCCAGTTCAGATATAGCCTTCACATTGAATTTATAAATGATGACATATTACTGAATGCATTATCAAATATATTTTTTTTATCATATGGAAATCAGTCATAATAATTATTACTCAAATATATAAATTGTAATTAATTAAATAATGAAACAAACTCATTTGCAGATTATTTTATATAATATTGTATAAGTTTTAAGCTCAGATATAACCAAATTATATTATTATTCAATACTTTCATAAGTCATAATACATAATAATTTATATATTTTCAAATAATGGAAATTAGCCATGATTGTTATCTATGATACTGCATGCCATTCTCAACATATGCTCCAATGGCTTTTCAAGATGATGACATGAATATCAATGTGTTATTATATTTTTGTGGATCATAGAGATTCAAGTGTGATAACAGACATGTAAACACTTATGAACTTATTGTCACTCAAGTGATAATTCACATAAGATCTTGTTATCACATATAATCTAAACTAAGTTAAAATAATATAACTAAGTCAAAATAATATAATTATGTTATTTCAACTTAGTTATATTATTTTAACTTGTCCTTAAAATCAGGGATGATAAATGATCTCAAATAACCTTTGAAATAATCATATCATATAATAATTTTACTATTAATTTCATATGTGAAATGACTTAAGTCATTTGAGAAATAGAAATGATCTTGAGATTGGCTAACCCTATTTAAATAGACTTTGGATCTAGATTTTTATCTAAATAAACAATTTTAAAGTAATATCATCTGAAAATTTTTTTTAAATATAAATTTATATAATATTATAGAAGTTATATAGATTTATATAAATTTATATAGATTTATATAAAATTATATAAATCATATAATATTATGTAAATTTATACACATAATTATATGTAAATATATGTAAATTTTATACAAATTTATATAAGGTTTCACTAATCTATTTAAATTATATAAATTTATAATATTATATAGATTTATACTTGAAAAATTTTTCTAATGACATACAATTATAACCTAGATTAAAAGAACATACCTTCAATCAAGAATAAATTATTTACCAAAAATAACTATAAATAATATTTTACATTATAGTGATCAAAATTATGTAATGATTTATTTTTCACTATAAGTATAGCTCAAGTTAATTTCGGAAAATTTTGTATCCTTTATTTAAAATTATATCTATTCCTTTTATATTAGGTTAGCTTTGTAAGTTTAATTGTAATTCGATAGTTTAAAATTTAGAACTTTCAAATTATGATGAATTTAATTATAATATAAAAAGGTATTTCATTTTTTTAAAAGTAAAATTTATTAATGTTAAATAAAATAATATCAAATAATTATTTAATAAAAATTAATTATTATATCAATGAAAAATTTAAAATAACAAAAACAAATAAAAAATTAACAAAATTAAAATAAAAATAAAATGGTTTAATGAAAAAAAGTAATGAAAGTAATAATGATAATAATGAAGAAATGACTTGGGATAATCATGAATTGGATAAAAGAATCAATAATTATATTAAAATTTTATTAGGAATAATATCAATATTGAATAAAAAAAATTGAATATTGCTAAAGCTCACTGATAGTAATTATTATTATCAGACAAAATTACATAATTTCCTAATTAACTCCTAACCCTAACTTTGTTCACATAAATTTAATTTTGTTAGTGGTAACAATATTATTTGAAATATACATGTTCTCAAAATTGATTTTTGAGATATTTATTCTATAATTGTATGTTAAATAGGTTATTAAAGTAAGTCAAAATATTTTGAAATCTAAAAGTCAAAATAGTTTTTCATAGAAGACAATTTAATTTTACTTAAAACCTGAAATTTTTTAATCACCCAGATAAATTCTTTAATTGAAAATACATTAAACTGAATATTTTTTTATTTCTATATATAGAATAGATATCTCAAAAATCTTAAAAAATGAAATTAAAAATCAATTCTATATATGAAAATAAAAAAAATACTTAGTTAAATATATTTTCAATCAAAGAATTTATCTGAGTGATCAAAAAAATTTTGAATTTTAAGTAAAATAATTTCATCTTCTATGAAAAACTGTTTTGACTTTTGGATTCCAAAATATTTGACTTACTATAATAAGCTATTTGGTGTGTAAGTATAGTACAGAGCATAGTAAGGACTTTACATACAGTAACCACCAAATTCGAATTGTAAATATCTTGTGATTTATGGCCGGCATTACAGATGAATTATAATTTTAACCAAAATTAGGGGGATGTCTAAAGCAGAGTCTATCACATAATGACTTGAAATTAATTAAATTAATTAATATTATAATGAGGTCTGGGTTAAGGGTAGGGTTTAAGTAAATACTATGTGTAAAATTGTCTCCCCGGCAATTTTTATTAATGCACCAAGATATGTTTAGACACCTGTTTCTTATATTTCACTTTTTTTCTTCGTCGGGGCTGATCCGTATAAACAAAAATTCACGATTTTGATTGGCCATAGTCACCGGAAAATCTCATGATGGACACTGCCCCAAAATTAGAATTTAAATTTAACATTAACCACATCCGACCACGATCAGCGAACTTAGCTTAATTTTTCAATAAAAAGATAAAATGTAACTTTGATTACCTGTAAGCATTCAAGAAAGATGTCTCATGTTGTAATTTCACCTATAGATAATAAGCCTTTTACTACAATTAACTTAGCCACAGGTGAACAAGTCACTGAAACAATAGAACGTTCAAAGAAAGCTTTTTTATTATGGAAAAAAGTTCCCATCGAAGAGCGCATAAGAATTGTTTCAAAGTTTATAAAAGCATTTGTTGATAAGAAAGATGAGATCGCAGAAGAATTAACCAGGCAAATGGGAAGGTTTGTTAAAAATTTGCATTTGACTTTAAAATTATTATATAATAGATTAATTTCTTTCCTATGTAATAATTATAGACCCATTAGATATACTGGTGGTGAAATTGATGGTACGGCTGAGAGAGCGCGATATATGATGTCTATCGCGGAAGATAGTCTAAAAGATGTTGAAATTGAAGATTCAAATAAACCGGGATTTAGAAGATTTATTCGAAAAGAACCATTAGGTTAATCTCATATAACAGAACTATTCCATAATAAAATTATATTTACAATTGATTTAAACTTTTTTTTTTTCCGTTGATAAAAACTGTAGGCCCAATTCTAATTATTGCAGGCAAATATATTAATTTATACATCATATTTTGGAATACAAGATATTAATAATTAGAAATATTAAAAACTCACTCTTACTTGGGTTTCAGCATGGAACTATCCATATTTAATTTCTGTTAACGGTGTAGTTCCTGCCATCCTTGCAGGTAAAGTTTTGAAAATAAAATAATTTTTTTGTTTACTTTTATATTAATGGATAATCTAATAAATCTAGGAAACACTGTAATTCTGAAACAATCTTCTCAAACACCCTTATGCGCTCAAAGGTTCGCAGATGCTTTTAAGGAAGCTGGGTTAATTGAAAATGTTTTTCAGGTATTGATTGATGATATATAACTTTATAATAATCGTTTTAATATCTAATACTCTTTTTTTTTTTTATCAGATTTTGCATGCTTCTCATAGTGAAATTGAGAAAGCTATCAAACATCCAGATATCGCTTATGTAAATTTTACTGGATCCGTTGGAGGTGGTAGAGAAATCCAGAAAGCTGCTAGTTCTAAATTTATAGGTAAATTTTAATTTCAAATTACCGAGATACGTGACCAATTTTTAAAAGAATTCAAGCATGCTTTAGGATTAGTATTATCATTCTTTATCCGACTTTATTTGAGATGGTATTTTGGAATAACTTTACATAAATCCAAAAATGTCATCGTGAATTTTTAATTTGATTTGATTACTGTGCAAGAAGCATGCTCGACGTAATTAAATCTGGTCGTGTGTTTCTGTATTTATAAATTTGAGTAATTATTGTAATTTGAATATTTGATTCATTGCAGCTACGGGACTTGAATTGGGAGGTAAAGATCCTGCCTATATTCGATATGATGCCGACTTAGATTATACAGTGGAACAGCTTGTAGATGGATCTTTCTTTAATAGTGGTCAATGTTGTTGTGCCATTGAGAGAATTTATGTGCATGAACAAGTTCATGATCAATTTGTTGATAAATTTGTTGAATTAACTAAGGTAAATTTTAATTTAATATTGTTATAAAAATCATTAATTTAATTTTATTATAATTATTAATAATATTAATAAGAAAGAATTTCATTTGAAATAATAGCAATATAAATTAGGTTTTCCATTAAAACATGAAACCACACTTGGTCCAATGGTTCGCACAAAAGCAGCAGAATTTGTGCGTGATCAAATTGAGAATGCAGGTTTGCTTTCTTTAATTAATATATATTTTATATATTTCTATATATTTCTTTAGTTCAATGAATTTAATAAATATGCAATGTTATAAATATTCTTGCCCACAGTCAAACAAGGCGCAAAACCTTTGATTGATGTATCATTATTTCCAGAAGATAAAGTATGAACCCCTTTACTGATATTTATTATTTATTATTTACTATTATTCACTTTTTGATTTTCTCCTAAACTTTTTACTTTTTAAATTATTGATTAGAAAAATACTCCTTATATGGCACCTCAAGTTCTTGTTAATGTTAACCATTCAATGAGAGTAATGACTGAAGAAAGTTTTGGACCAGTAATTGGTATAATGAAAGTAAGCTATTCAAATTCATAAGTATTATATATTAATACGGATTTGATTGATGTTGCTAAAGAAATTAATTTTATATTACACTTAATGTAAATGCAATAATATAAATAATATAAATAAACATAGGTATCTTCAGATGAAGAAGCTATTCAGTTAATGAATGATTCAGAATTTGGATTGACTGCAAGTATTTGGACAAAAGATGAAGATGCTGCAGTAAAAATTGGAAATGAAATTGATACTGGAACTTGGTTTATGAATAGATGTGATTGTAAGAATTTTCTTTTTTTTTTTATTTTTATTTGGTACATATTTATATGTAAAAGTTTTAAAATTTTAAAAATTGAATAGATTTGGATCCAGCATTAGCTTGGGTTGGAGTAAAGAATTCTGGTAGAGGATGTACTTTGGTAAGAATTTTTAAAGATTCTATTAATATTAATAATCTAATTTAATAATTAATTTTTTTTTATGTACATATTATTAAAAGTCAAAATTTGGATTTGATTATCTCACAAGGTAATTAATTTAAATATCATAGCAATATTAAAATAATATTACATTATTAATTATAATTATTATTTTTGTTTAGACCTAAATCTTTTCATTTGAAATTAATTACAAAATAATATATATAAATACAGATAATAATTTCTAAAGTAAAAATAATATAAATTGGTTAATTGCAAGAATTATTTGTGATTTGTATTTTTTTTTTCTAGAATTAATTATTATAATATTATTTGTAGTATAAATATTTGCAGTATTATGAAGCTTGTAACAAATTTATAGCAATTCAAATTTGATACCAATTAATAATAAAAGGGTTTACACATGACTTATTAATTATAAAAGTGAAAGCTTCTGATAGATTATTCATTAAGATACGAATTTTTTATTCATACTAATCTATATCTTCTTAAATGTTCTTTAATAATAAAAAAATTTTATTTTTATATAAAAAAAAAACTTTACAAATCATATAATGAAAAATTTTTACATAATTAAATTACTTGCACATTAATTTGTAATTCTCTTAATTTTTGTATATCCAAATCATTGTAAATTGTTTTGGTTATAATTAATTCATTTATAATTTTATGAGACTTATTCATTTTTATAATAGAATCAATATGTATATTGGTAAAAAATAAAGATCCTAGTATTTCTAATTTAAAATTTGGACAGCTATTACAATAAATTGGAGGAGTTAGTAAAAATTCTAAAGCAATACAAGTGAATGTCCAATTTTTTCCATAAAGACCAAAGTGTTTTAATGTTGAAGGTAATCCATTCTTCCCTAATGCTTCCAATAAATCATTTGTATCAAAAACATTTAATGATTTAACTTCTTGACAAAAAATTACAGTCTCCAAATTTGGACAATTTAAAAAGAGAGAAATTACTTGAGGAATTTGTTGCTTTTCTTCCAAGACAGTTTTAATATATGTTAAATTATGAAATCTTTCTGCCATTAAACCAATCACATTTCCATACATAAAATTACTATCATTTTTCGTTGAGAATAAATTTCCTAATTCTAATTGTTGTAAATTGGATGTACAACCTCCAATAATTAATTCAATAATATCATTATTTATTTCAGTCTGGTTTATCTTTAGTTTTACAAGTGTTGATAATTTAAATTCATATTTTAATGATGGTGATACAATTTCCGTTTTGGGAAACTTACATGACTCAAATTCCAAATTTTCCAAATTTTTAAATTTTGTTAATTGTCGTAGTAAATAAATGTTACTAAAATTTAATTCGTTTAAATGTAAACTATTCAGACAATGAGTTTGAGTTTTCAATGCATTAATAATCTCTTCTAATCCTACAGAACATTTTTGTAATTCCATGTGATCCAAACATTTCTGCTCTTGAATTAATTTGGTTAAACTTAATGATTCTTGCATCAAACCTTTATTAGGTGTAGGTGTTACTGGAGAAAAATCAATATCATAATCTACTCGAATTTCCAGATATTTTATTAAATGACAATTATTTGCAAGTGACAATAATAAATCTGCTTTTCGATGTCGAGTAGTACAAACTAATTTTGTCAACTTTGAGAGACAATTATTAGATCCAGGATAAGTCGGAAAGTTTAAATATTCATCAACAAAAGTATATCTTTGATCAAGAGAATTTTTACTTAACATAAAAGTAGCGCAACTATTTTGATTCACAAAATCATTTAAAGCGAATCTAAAATCAAATGAAATTTGTTCAATCGATCGACTATTGCTCATGTATAATCGGCATATGATTATTGCCATTCTTTGACGAAGACTATCAGAAGATATATTGTAACATGTTTCAGATGAGGAACCAATAAGTCCAAAAGGAGCTACTTGAGTTTGTAGAATTGTAACACAATCTCCTGACGTTACATATCTTTTGCCATCATTTTTTTTATTATTATTATTGGATTTCTTAGTTAATTTCTTTTGACTTATATTATTTTGATTATTTTGATTATTTTGATTAGTTTTTTTGGTTTTCTTAGTTTGATTAGTTTTGAGTGATTGATTAGATCCAGGAATTTTAATCTTTGCTAAAGTTCTTTTTTGAGGATTTTTATGATTAATCCACCAATCTTGAACAGCCATATTTAATTCATGTAAATTTAATATTCTCAAATATTTAACATAATTGAATAAAGGAGAAGTTATTGAAGAATATATAATGTTTTTATGAAATAAAGTTGGGTTTTGTTGAATAAAACAAGATAACAAAGTTTTAAGTAGATTACTAGCTTGTAAATATCTTTTAGCTAAAGAACAAACACAAGGATTCTTATTGCAAGTATATAAAAGATGAAATGGTTCAGACCATAAAATATCAATACAGATTATGCACCATAAACGATTAACTAAAATACAAGAATGAAGTGAAGTTCGGTCATCTTTTAGATGAGTGAATATTAGACGAAGACATTCAGGAATTTGAAAAAGATGAGACATAACTTGTAGTATCGTTGAAAAAAAAAAAAAGTGAGGAATTGATGAGCTATTTATAATTATCGGAAATCATTCCGTGTACACTCATATAAAGTTCCCCATTGGGACAAATGATTATTTATTTATTTATTATATTATTTCAATATAAAATGTTAAATGGTACAACATAAAAATTTAACTATAATATTTAGGTTTAGGCCAGTTTTACTTTCTTTAGTTCTTTATTTTTTTTATTAATAAAATATTAGCAATGAAATTTATATATATGAATAATTTTAATAGAAAAAATATTTACTAAATAAAAAATAAATAAATGTAATATAAATTAAAAGAAAAAATATGTTTTCAAATTTTTGTTAAAGAGTAATATCTATTATAATATTATTTCCCTTTTTAAAAATATGATTCATATTTTTTGTATTATATAATGATATTTATATTATATTTATTATGAATGCATATTCTCTAACTTTTATTATTTTTAATATTATGTGATGAGAATTTTTTTTTGGAAATCAAAATGGTGGTTCAAATGACTCTGTACAAATCCACTAATCACGGAGTAAATTATAAATTAGGAAGTTAGTATGAGAATTATAAGAATCTATTTTCCATTATAGGAAATAAAGATTCATTGCGGAAAATTTTGAGATTAGTTAAAATCAGCAACACGTGGACAAAATTTGCGGATTGCGAATTTAACTTCTGTTAAGTATCTACATATCAAATTATAAAGCATAAATATCTTGCCTTTAACCAGTAAAAATATTCTGTGGTATTTTTATTTTTCATTGATTTTTCCGGGAATTTCCTCTATTGATCCATTTCACTAGTATTTAAATAACTTTTATAATTATAAAATAAGATAAAAAGAATCACGAATAATAAACGGAATCTTTCTCATATATTTCCACAGTGCGGGAATCTCTATAACCAACAAAGAAATGTACTATTTTTTTTTTAAAAAAAAAATGTACGTTGGCTAAAAAAGGTAAATAAAATTTTAACCATTAATTTTGATAGATCTTAAGAGAAAATGGGCTAAATAAATGTTACCATAAAAATTAAATCGCTTTAACACATTAACGCTTTTAATTGCAACCGAAATTATTATGCTTATACACAAATTTAAATGTACCACATCCGCCAAATTACGAAAATTGAATTTAGTACGTTACACAAAAAACCAATTCTTGGTAAAAAAAATATATATAGATAACGAACTTATGACTACTAGTTAAAGTTGCTCTTTATTAAACAAATAACAAGAAAAAAAATAAAATAAAATAATATTGTTTAACATCTGAAGCAAAAAATAAGATTAGTTTTCGTTAAGTAGGGTGGTGTGTTGATGGTTTTGATGGGTTTTAGATCGAGGTTGATGGGTTTCGGTTACCTACTATTACGCTTAAACTTTATTTATTTAATAAAATATTCTTTAAAACGTAAATATATGTAAAATTTTGTACTGAGTATTTTTACTCAGAGGACAGAAAGTAGTTGTCTTAATAAATATTAAGATTTTAAATATTTAATATATTTTCGAATCGATTGTTTTGTTGCTGATCAGTCATGGTTTCAACTTATGCGACGATGATTTTTTTCGTCAAAATGCCGATATATTGAATAAAATCGAAAAGATTATAATAAAATTAGTTCACAAAAAAATTTATTTCCTTTTTTAATAACAATTATTTTATATGTATTTTAATAGAGTTTTATGAGCTCTATCTTTCTGCAAAGTTTGGAAACTCAATAAGTGATATTTAAAAAAAGAATCTTAATGATAAGTAATCTTTTAATTTTAAAGTTAAAGAAGGCCTATTTAAAGTTTGAAGCTAGAGACTTGAAAAATTGTTTCGTCTTGTTACACAAGAAATTTAACTTCGACTAAATATCAATTAAAAATTTAAATAAATAATTTTAACTTTAAATTCTTCAAACAAAATCTTCATTTCTTGTATTTTCGGAGATTTAGATTTGAAATATTAAGAAATTGACTGGTATAAATTGTATTTTATCTTTAATTGAAGTTGTAATTGTTTTATCAGTTGACGTTTGATTTACTAAAAATCTTTAATTAATTTAAAATTTAATTCTTAAACGGGTCTATGAACATTCCAATATCAATTGGAAGTATGAAATGGAATTTTTAGTTGTAATCCATTACATATAATCATTATCATGAGATACATTTTTAATACCTATTAACTTTTTCGTAAGTTATAGTTTCAAATGAATAAAATATCGGAAGCTTTTATACATTCTCTTCACTTAATACTTCAGATGTTATATAGGGTCATACATCTCTTCTAAAATGTCACGTAATTGTGAGTTTCCAGGTCTTTTAATACTACTTCACTTCGACGCAATTTCATTGTTGATTTCTTTAGATTCCAATTATAAATTGGCCCATCAATCAACTCACCAGCATAATAAAGCTTCGAAATAATCATCATTTTTATTATCTTTAAATCTACCTTAAGGTATTCATTCTATTGACTTCATGAATTTATCCATTGCATATCATTATTTTTATGTTTCTTCAAAAATAATTATTTTAGATTATTTGTCATACGATCTTTCCATCTTTATTAAAACGATCTAAAATTGAATATATGTTATATAAAGTAATAAATATTTTAGCCAGCATTTTCTTAAACAATTTAAGTCCTCGTTTACCATTTAACAATTCTCTTTACTAATTATATTATATATAAGATACAGTTAGTTTAATAATTAACTTTGAAATTTGATGTATTTCCTCATAAGTCTAATGATTTATGAACTATGCAATGGTGCTTACGTTTTGTGTCAGTTTAGATTATTTATTATGCATACGAATTAATAAATTTATCTATCTCATTGTTCCAAATAAATTACTGAAAGCAACGACGTACATAATAATGATTACCTAATTTTTAAGAAAATTTAAAAAGGAAATCTTAACTTATATTAAAATCAATTCGTCTATATTAATCGATCAAATGTTATTCGTGTTTAACTATACAAACTCTCATGTGACTAATTGAATAATTGAATGAGAAGTTTAAAAATAATATTAATCGTGACTATTCTATTAGAATTTGAAAAAAGATATAGTGAAACCTCTCTAAATGCACTCTCTATCAATGCACCACTATATAAATTTTCTCTAAATGCACGTCCATATCTTGTTCTCTATAAATGCACATTTTGTCTTTTTCTTATGGTTCCTAGGGGATGCACTTTCACTTGCAGTAAATAATAATGATTTGATGATGATAATAATAAGTTTATCACATTAAAATTTTTATTTTTCCTCAATTTAACTTTAATTAATCACAAAATAAAATAATTACCGTGTCAACGCCAGTAGACATATGTAACTTTCATAAAACTTCGAGGTCTTGCAATTATTTCAGATTTCAAAGGTCAAAAAGCGTAAATTTTAAATAATTTTTAAGCTAACTTGTCTCGATAATTTATCAGACATTATCCTTTCTATCAGTGTTGCTATTAAAAATATCGTCAACATTTCAGATTTCAATTTTTCATTCAATTGGAGTTTAATACTATTATCGACATTATTCCTTAATTAATTAATTCTAACCTTCAAGTATTTCGAACAATTCTTGGAATATTAAAGAAATAAACCGTGCTATTATCAAATAAATCTATTGATCCTACAAACATATCACTTTCTTTAAGAATGCCTTCTAGTACAGATTATTTTTCATTAGATGTTATTTTATTATAATAATATGCTAAGGTTTACTGGTAGTAATAAATATCGGTTCAAAAAAAAAAAATACTTTAAGTCTTACCAATCAATGGAATTGGAAAAGGACCGGGATGTGGGCATCCGCGTGTAGATATTTGTAATAAATAATAAAAAAAATAGTTTTTTAAAGCAACTAATAATATCTTAAAATATTCCATATATAAAATTTGTAGTTTCATCTTTGAATTTTTGAGTACTTCATTGCAAGATTTTTAAAAGCGCGAATATATTAATATTTTTGGGTGGAAATCCCAGACCCGCGAAAATTTATGAAGTATAAAATAACGCTTGATTGTTTTAATTTTATATTTTATAATAAATTACAAATATTTCATTTTTGCAGATTTTCAAATTTAAATAATTTTCACCTAATGAACGAATAAGAAAAAAAAAGTTTCCTTATTTCTTTAATAGATTTGTTTAATTAAATGAATCTAATTGATCTTCAACTTAATTATATTACTTTCCTTCTTAAAATAATATTTTAGATAATTTTTTGATTCTTGCCTGAGATTCGTTTCATAATCGCGAATTTACTTACCCTTGGATTAAATCTGTGGTTGTTGACGTAATAAAATATTTTTGTATTTTAAATATTATTTTTTTTATCACTTTGGAGGATCGAATCTATAGATCATGATGTGATAGTATTTAATATTATCGAATCTGTGGGAAAAAATTACAATCAATATATATTATATATTATATAATAATTAAATAAATGTTATACAGTATGTATACTATAACTATACAATTATAAATATTTTACTCCTTTAATAATGTTTGTACTGATTTTTGCAAAAATGAGCTGTTTCAGAAATTTCCATGACAAAGCAGCAATACAAATACCATTACCATATGCAATATTTCTAGAATAAGATTTTCGCATATTTTAAGGGTTCAACAGTACAACATTGCTAAAGTAGATTTTTTAATTAGATAAATGAAAAATTTTTATTTAATATACTTTGTGTATTTTATATAATTAAGAAATTACTTGTACTTTTTCAAATCTCCATTAAATATATGAAGTTTATTTTTTTGCTCTTCTTGATTAAATATATCACGTGAGTGGCGTACAGCCTAAAGTTCATCATTTCGCGATAAATAATTTATCATATTTATTTTTATAACAACATATTTATTTACTAATAAAACATCGAAAGTGACACTAAATATATAAATCAAATGCATCTACTAATGAATTTTAGATATAAACTTTTATTATTACTCGCGGATTTTAATACACGAAGATCTAATATACGGACACGTCCCTGCAAATTTTATTTGTGTAATCACAAATAGTTAGAAAAATAAAAAATAATTTCCTTTTTAATTACTGATTTGCTTATAGTGTTTAATGAGTACTACATTTCTGGAGATTTAGAACCACTTAATATTTGATATTGAAAAAGAGTCTCGGCAATATTTGGTTACAAGTATATAATATTCAAGGACAAAACCTGAATAGAAGGTTATAAAAGTTATAGTTAATATAGTTACACGAAAATTTTTAAATAATGAGATACTCATAATACTGAACGAATTACCTTTTTTTTGATAATTGCTTCGACATATTAAAGTTTTCCAATGAAAATGAAGAATATTTCTTTTATCATTCGTTATTTGCCTTTGGATTATTTTACACGTTTTACATGAGATTTGAAAGAACAAATAAAACCTAAATTATTACCAGACAGATTTATCATGAAGATCATCCGAGTAACATCTCTTTTTTCGTCAAACATCTATTATCTTTAAAGTATCTATTTAATTCGAACAATAAACTATTAACTAATGCATCTAATTCTACAAACATATCACCTTCTTTAAGAATGCCTTCTGATTACTGGTGCTAGTAATAAATATCGTTTCATTCGAATACTGGTTTTCTCATTTGACTCATTCAACTGTATCATAGTGAAAGAATTTATGATAGAAATATGAATCATTATATTGGCTTGAATTATTTTTGGTTCTAAAGGGAAACTTTTAAAACTTGATGTGTATTACGAGTAGATTAAGTCAATTGATTATCTTTAATATTTATACAAATAATTTGCTTTGATATCTGAATATTTTTTTTATAATTTTTGAACAAAATTACCCAAGGCGCATGACAACAATTAAATACCGAATACATATTATTTTTGTTTCTTCTTATGCATGTATTATGCTCTTAAAAATGTGTAAATAATCAAACGAAATGGACCAAAGATCAAATCAAAGTAGCTTTAAAACGTTAGACATCTTAAATGGGATTGTAAATTGCTTTTTGTTTCTTGAATTTTATTTTCATCTTTAAAAGACTTTTTTCAATAAAGAATGTATTAATATATGATCAAAGTATATATATTTTGAGACTTTAGCTGGCACTTTAGTTATATTAAAGACTTGAATAAATCAGATTTAATTTCAAAGACTTATCTATGGAAAAACGCAGATTTCATGTAATTATGATCATTTGCAGATTAGCAATTTAAATTTTCCTTTTCGTCAATTTAACTTTCAATTCATCACAATACCTAATCTGCAAACTATGTTCTTTCAATGGCTCTAACGGTTCAATGTCGTATTTTCGGTACAATATTGTTAAAGTAATTATTAATTTCGTCACCCCCAATTTTATTCCTGGACCTGCAGTAGAGAAATAATAATAAAAGGATTATCGGGATTAAATATATCAGGATCTTTCCAATTTGATTTGTGTTTATGAATTCCATCATAATTCAATGTAAAATTAGTATCCCCTACAACTTCTGGTACATAATTTTAAAATTTAATGGGACGATCGAACAAAGTCTTGATGCTTGACAATTATAATGTTTGATATTAAAAGTTAATGAGATACTATAACCATAATACTGTAATAATTGACATGTAAATTACCTTCTTTGATGACAGCTTCAACATATTCAAGTTTTGAATCTTTGCCAAGAACGAGTTCGATTTCTTCTATCATTCGTTGCTTTATTTTCGGATTATTTTCCAAAAAAATTGACTAAAAAGCACATGGAATTTGAACTCTGTACAAAGGAATAAATATTATTTTTGTAAACAAATAAAATAAATATTCTTATTACACTTAATATTAACAGGAAATTATGAATATAATTTCGTATCAACGGCGGCAGCCATAATTTCCATAAAACTTACCTCAATATCTTTTATCAAACATTGGCTTATCATGAAGATCATCTGCGATCTTTTCGGTGTTCACCGTTAAAAATATCGTCACGTCAGATTTTAATTATGATTCAATTGGTGTTTTAAAAATTACTCCGAGTTTTAATTTAATAATATTATCGACATTATTCCTTAACAAAACCATTCTAACCTTCAAGTATTGAGTATCTATTAATTTCAGGGAAATTTCGAAAATTAAATAAACCAAGTTACTACCAAATACAAATATCACTTTCTTTTATTTTATTACAATAATTTTCAAGTTTACTGGTGGCAGTAATAAAAATAGTGTAAACGAAATATCGTTTTCATCCAATTATTAAAATTCAAATACGGTGTCTTCTCAAAGTTTATCCCAATACTGTTCCATTTCTGAAAAACAGCCATCACCGATTATTTAATAATGAAGGGTACATCATAACTTTGGTAAAGAATTTACGATGGTATTGCCAATCATTATATACGCTAAACCAGATGGTTAATAAACTAATATCCTTAAGACTTTCATCAACTCTATTATGAAAAATATAATGGCAGGTTTCGTAATCTTGTCATTATTACTCAACAAATGAAACGTTTGGGTTCCAAATATAATTCACATAAATCACCATATTGTTTTTGACATCAAAATTCTTTAAAATTTGATGAATATTACCAAAAAAAAAAAATGGAATTGGAAAAGGACCAGGAAGTGGATTTTCGCGTGTAAATATTTGTAGTAATAATATGAAATTTCCATATATAAAATTTATAGTTTCAAGTACCATTTTTATTTTTTTATAATAAAATACAAGTTCAAAAAGAAAAATCCATTATTTATAAATACACAATAGGAATAATCCTTTTTAAGAATGATCACATTATATCAAATTGACTAACTTTATTTAAATTCATTGGTCAAGACAATAAAGTTTACTTAACTATTTATCACATGTATCCAAAATTTAAACTGGCAAATTGAATAATTGGAAATTCATGCACATTATCAACTCTTGTTTCTTATTTCGGTAGTTTCATCATAGTTTCGGATTTAGCATTCAATGAAAAGTATGAATCAAGCAAAGAAAGAAAGTGAAAAAATTTTTTTCGCCTGACATGAATTTATATATATTTCTATATCCATGAGTCCCAAGAATAGATGTGATTTTCTTTTGAAGGCGCTGAGGCGAAAAGTTGATAAAAGAAAAAAAGGTGTTTTGCGCATTGTAAAAAAATCTGCATTCATTACATTTGCTTATTGCATAAGTATTGTGTAATTATTTGATCAACATTCAATATTTCTATTTCAAGTCATGTAAATTAATTATTTAAAAGAAACGGAAAACAATAGATTTTCATTTTGAGGATTTTTTTCACTTCTCTTTTACTTTATTTTCCTGCAAATATGACTTCGGATTTGGAAAAGATATTGCTGACAGAAATAGGTCAACTTTATCAAAATGCAGACGATTATAATGTTCAAATTCATGTTGGCCAAGAACCCAATACACAAATATTTCGTGCTCACTCGGTTATTTTGAGAGCAAGATCACCTTATTTTCGAGCTGCTTTATCAGTAAATTGGGCAAAGACTGATGGTAACATTATCACCTTAAAGAAGCCAAATATTTCTCCAAATATTTTTGAAGTCATATTGAAGTAAGTATATGCACAATTTAATGTAAATATGCATTTCTATAATTTAAATGAATTCTTTTTTTTTTTGTTTCGCATGTGATTATGATTAAAGGATTTAATATCATGTGATACTTCTCGAAGAAAAATAAGAAAAATATATAATTTGATATCCATGAGATAATATAAAGTTTATTAATAAATTAATTTTTATTTTTCTTAGATATATTTACACTGGAAATATTCCTTTAGAAGAAACAAATATTCGTGTTAATTATACTTTGCTACTTGTTGCTGCTGATGAACTTGCGCTTGTTGACTTTATCGATCATATTCAATCTCATATTATTAAAAACGAATCTGAATTGATACGTAGAAACCTCATTGAATTTTTACAAGTATCCTCCCGTCATGAAGCTTGTCATCCTTTACAATCCTACTGTGAAGATATCATTTGCCAAAATCCTACTGAGTTCTTTAAATTGGAAGCATTTCCAAATTTAGATCATGATGTCCTCATAAATATTTTAAAGAAGGATTATTTTAACATGAAAGAAATTGATGTTTGGGAAAATGTTACTAAGTGGGGAAGAGCACAAAATCCTAAACTTAATTATGATGAATCAAAATGGTCTTCGGATGATTTTCTTGTATTAAAAGAATGTATTTCGCCGTTTATTCCCTACATCAGATTTTTTGATATTTCTGGACCTGAATATTATAACAAAATTTACCCTTACAAGAAAATTCTTCCCAAATGTTTAAAGGTGAGTTTTTAATTTATTTATAATTATTTATAATTTATTTATAATTATTTAATAATTTATTTATAATTATTTATAATTTATTTATATTTATTTATAATTATTTATAATTTATTTATAATTTACGCAATTTATAAAATAATTTATTATTGTTTATTTTTAGGATGATTTGATTAAATTCCATGTTGGAAAAGAACTTCCTCTTAGAGCGATATATACATTTCCACGAATCAGATCATTCGATGATTCAACTATCATTACAGCTAAACATTTTGAACAATTATCATCTTGGATTGACAAGAAAAAGGAGCCTTACTTGTTTAAAACGAATCCCTATGAATTTAAATTGCTCATGCGTGGAGATCGCGATGGATTGTATAATATTAAAGAATTTCAACGTAGATGTTGTAAAAAAGGTCCAACAGTAATTGTCATTAAAGTAACAGGATCCGAAAGATTGATTGGAGGATATAACCCAGTAGAATGGTGTTCATCTAAAGGATACCTTTCTTCTCGTGATAGTTTCATCTTTTCGTTCGATGACAATGTGACAAACTCTATACTTTCTCGTGTCAAGAACTCAGATTATGCCATATTTAATTCTGATGACGATTATATTGGATTCGGTAGTGATCTTGAATGGTTCAGCGGATATTGCGAACAGTATAATTATCATGAGAAGATACTTAATCAAAGTGATTTCACGATGGAAAATTTTGAAGTTTTCCAAATAATTAGAAGACCTATTTAGAAGACAGATAAAAAAACAATAATTTTTATTAATTTTTATTAATAACTACCCATGCATACAACAAGCATTTTATATAGCAACAATCAAGTTTTATAAAGAACCTATTTTTTATAATATTAGAGAAATTTTTATGAAACTAATTTGATATTATTTTTATTGTAAATATGACCCAAAGCATTTCATATGAGTAAATTCCTTTTTATGTATACGAATTTCTTTACTTTTCTGTAATATATATTTTTTTTATTATTATAGACTTTATTCACTTTAATTTATCCAAAAATTTAGTAACATTTATTTTTGAATATTTTTCATATAGTCTTAAGATATTTTTTGTAATATAGATTTTTTTTTTCTAGTTTAGACTTCTTTTAAATTTTCATTCTCACTTATTATATTATTTTTTTTTATACACAGCTTTAAGGTATTTTTTTTTTGTAATATAAATAATTTTTTCAAAAGTTAGATTATTATTTTCATTACTTTCACATTATTCTAAATTTTAAAAAAATTTGGATTAATTATGTTAAGTATATCCACAAGTGCATCCCAAAATTCAAATATTTTATGTAAAAATTTCTTTTACTTTCAATTTTTTGTATTATAGATTCATCTATACACCTTCAATTTTATTTCATTTGACAAGGGATGAAAATATTAAGAATTTTAGTTTCATGGACTAATATATGTACATTTATATTAATTTTTTCTTTCCTTTCAAGACAAAAAAAAAAAAATTTCACCCTTTGTAAATATGACTTGCTTCAAGAAATATATGATATATGAAATTAAAATAATTAAAATTATTAGATAGTTTAATTAATATTCAACAAATATATATTTTAAAACTTCATTAATGTAGTGATTTAAAATTTTATAATTAAATTAAAATATGATATAGCACGATCCAAATGACATTGTGATTTTTGGTCATTTGTCATTTGGGTCATTTAACCCAACCAATCATATGATTTTCGTATTTTTTTACATTTTTCTTCTCTCGCGATTTGCGAAGCGATTTTCTACTAAGGTATCTCTGGAAAGAAAATCCTTGTTCTTCACTACAAAATGATATGTATTTCATCCAAATAGTATCGGTATTCGCTGAATTATTTGCGTTTAATCTCGAACGTCCGTGAAAATTTCTGACATAAATTTTCCGGAATTTTCATAATTCTGGCCAAAATTACGGAAAATTTATGACAAATTTTCACGGACGTTCGAATTTAAACGAGAATACCTCCGTTAATATTGATATTATCGGGATGAAATACATATGATCCTGTAACCAAGAACAAGGCCTTTCTTTCTACCTTAGAGATATTTTGATAAAAAATCGCTCTACGCTTCGCAAATCGCGAGCGAAATCGAAAAAAATTTAAAAAATGTAATTATTGCCTATTAAAAATTCCTATGAAATTCGATTTTTTATTGGTTATTCAAAAACGCAAAACATCATCAATCAAAGAACTTTAAAAAGCGTTGCATTCATGATCCTTAGTCATTTCCTTAATTTCTTTGCACATACAAAATTCTATGAAGGTCGCATATGAGGATATGATAAAATTTTAACTTGTCTCAAAGATTTGTGATTTATTAAAGGTTCCGCATTATTTTAAACTCCGCTTTCAATAATCTTGTGATATAAATCTGGTTAGGGTATAAAATATGTATTAGATTCAAGAAATTAGTTATTTACATGTGAAAATATTTTTTATTCGGTTATAATAAAAGTTCAGACAAATTGGGCAAACACGAAAAAAATTCAAAGATGGGCACTATAAATTTTTTGCATGAAATATTAAAGATATCATTAGTTGCTTTAATAGCCTATATCTCATATTATGATTACAAATATTTTATACGCGAAAATCCACTTCCTTTTATTGGTAATATTTTAAAATTTCTTTTTTATGAAAATATACTTGAGGAATATGGTATATGGGAGCAATGATGACTTTATTCAAAAGATTGTGAAACCTACAATTAGTGGTTCATTTCATAATAGAGTAAATGATAATGAAGGTCTTACGGAAATTGGTTTTATTGTTTAATTTTGAATAATGATTATGACCATCGTAAATTCTTTACCAAAGTTATATTGGAACCTTCATTTATTAAAAATCTATGATAGATGTGATAGATGTAAAAGATGGTTTTTTAGAAATGGAAAAATATTGGGATGATCTTGGAGAAGATACAGTATTTGAATTCACTCATTGGATGAAACGATATTTCTTTGATACCATTTTTATTACTACCACCAGTAAACCTGCCCGCCCGCCTATGCATTAGCAAATTATTATAATAAAATAATCACAAATGAAAAATTACATGTACCGGAAGGAATTTTTAAAGAAAATGATATGTTTATAGAATCTATGGAATCATTATTTTATAACATGCGTTATTTCTTTTTTGTTCCGAGAATTATTCGTAAATTAATAGATACACTCAACGAATAAAGGATATAGTTAGTTCGTTAAGGAGTAATATAGATAATACTATTAAACTAAGACGAGAAGAGATTTCTAAAACACCGCTTGATCAAAAATTGAAATCTAACATGATGTTTTTAACGAAAGGATCGCGGATGATCTTCATGATAAACCAATATCTGATAAAGATATTGAGACAAATTTTAGTTGCCGGTATTGAGACGGTAAATTAATTATATCCCTGTTAAGTGTAATAAAAATATTTTATTTTATTTTTTATTTATTTACAAATAATTTTATTCCTTTGTACAGAGTTCAAATTCCACGTGCTTTTTAGTGAATTTTTTGGAAACAATCCGAAATTAAAGCAACGAATGATAGAAGAAGTTGAACGAGGAATCCAAATTCTTCATTTACATTAGAAGATTATCAAAACTTGAATTTGTTGAAGCTATTATCAAAGAGTGTAAGTTATATGTCGAATATTACTATAATTATTATGGCATTATGATAATAATATCTCATTAACTTTTAATATCAAATATTTTATAATTACACAGCATCATGACTCCGTACAATCGTCACAACTCTTTTTAGAAAAAATTCCATACCAGAAGTTATATGAGATTATAAATGATTCAAGGATACTTATTTTGCATTAAATTATGATGGAATTCAAAAAAACAAATCATATTGGAAAGATCCTAATATATTTAATCCTGATAGATTCTTGGATAATCCAGAGATCCAAAATAGACTTCAGATGTTTGGTGGCGGTTTGAGAAAGTGTAAGTATCTCTCAGTTATAAAAGGATTATAAAATCCCTCAACATTATTAATTTACCACCGTTTATTTACTGCAGGTCTGAGAAGATGATGGAATTAAAAGCTAGTTTAGCAATGTTGTACAGAAAATACGACATTGACCATTGAAAGAACGCGTTGCAACAGTTAGGAGTTGTGATGAATTAAAGATTAAATTGAGAAAAAGGGAAATATGTGATAAACTGTAGTTTTGTTATGTTTAAATATTTTTTTTATGTTCTAGTGAATTATGTTACTGTATATCTTTTGTTCAAATTCTAATGCCCTATGAAATTATTATATATGGTATTTGTATCAACATATATATATATTGCTACTATTTGTTTTTTATAAGTATATAGAATTTGTCATGGAAACGGCTCATTTTACAAAATCAGTACACATTTATTAAAGGAAATAGTTGTATAATCTTTATTTAACTATTATATAATATTAATCTTTAAAAGTTGTCCCACAGATGCGAGAATCAAAGTAATAAAAAAAATATTATTAAAAATATTACTTATTTATCCGTGACCCATAGATCAATTTGTCCCTACACACATGTTAATAAGTACTGTAAGTGATAAATAATAATAATAATAATAATAATGATATCTTATTAAATCAATAATGACCCACGGATTCGATCCCAAGCAAGATCGTAGGTATTGAAGATATATAGCACAAATTCCAAGCAAGAACACCTTAAATATCCATCTAAAGAAGGTGAATAATTTTTTAAAATCCTACCTAATATATCTGGGAATCCAAAGATCGGATTTTAAGAAAAGTAAATTAAAAATAAAATTTAATTAACACTTATTGATCCTATATTGATGTCAAAAATTAATTATAACAATTGGATTAGATGAAACGATATTTCTTTGGGATGGTACTATTTTTTATAAACTACCACCAGTAAATCTGCTAAATTATAACTCATTTATAGAATCGGTACGTTGATGCATGTGTTGTTAGCATAATTTTTCCTTTTTATTCCAAGAATAATTCGAAATTTTCCTGGGATTAATAAATACACTCAATACTAGAATATAAATCTGACATACTAATTTTAGATTAAATTGGAAAGATCTTAATATATTTAATCCCGAGAGTAAAAATAAAGTTCATATGTTTGGTGGAAGTAGGTAATCTCTTGATATAAATAAATAAAGTATATAAAAAATAAAAAATTTTATTTATCCATTTATCTACTACAGATCCGGAAATCTGTAAAAGCTACTTTAACAATACGACATTGAACATTAACGTTTGATTTGTTACTATATTAAATAAATTAGATCACTATTATAAGCAAAGCAAAGAGGTATAAAAATTGTCTGATGTATTGAACAATGTAAATACTTACGATGGCAATAAACTTAAAATTTTAGAAACGCATCCGATTATATGTAACATCATCGAAATGACCAGTCAGAGACGAACTTTAAAAGCGTTATTATTAACATTCATTTGATATTTGGCCATTTCATTTGTTTCTTCGCACATAGAAACTGGTTTGACATATAAAAAGAAGCACAAACACGCATAAGGGAATCATGCATGGATACGTATTCTTTATTTTTATTTTCGATTAAATTACAAACGGCGATTACTAATATATTTTCTAGTCTTTCAAAGTCAGGACAATATGAAAGTAATTTCATAGAAACCTGTCCTCACATTCTTCTTAAATTTCTTAATCCGCAAAGTTTTATTTATCATTCATAAAATTTATCATAAAAGTGACAAATT